CCACCGTTGACCTGATCAGTTGGGCATTCCAAGTGGCAAGGGGCATGGATTACTTGTCCTCCAAGAAGGTGTTGCACGGCGATTTGGCCGCGAGAAATATACTCCTTTGCGAAGACAATGTTGTTAAAATTTGCGACTTTGGTCTGGCGAGATCCATGTACCGAGGGGATAACTACAAGAAGTCGGGTAATTGTGAATCCATTTGTTACTTAACCATTTATTAATATTATAAACACGAATTAATTAGAGAGTGGCAAGCTGCCCATCAAGTGGCTGGCGCTGGAGTCGCTGAGCGATCATGTGTTCAGCACATACAGCGACGTTTGGTCCTACGGAATCGTTTTGTGGGAGATGTTTTCGCTGGCCAAGGTGCCGTATCCGGGCATCGATCCCAACCAAGAGCTGTTCAACAAACTGAACGACGGCTACCGCATGGAGAAGCCGAAGTTCGCCAACCAGGAGCTCTACGAGATTATGCTAGAGTGCTGGCGAAAGAAGTAAGTGTTTAGCCCCATCATTTCATCCGAATCCATCGTCATATTATTCTCGATTCTTTCAGTCCCGAGAGCAGACCATTGTTTGCTGAGTTGGAGAAGCGGTTTGGCAACATGCTGGGCGAGGATGTAGCCAGTGTAAGTGGGAAACACATTCAATGTTCAGAAGAATAATAGTAAAGGACAATTCCCCAATTTCCCAATTACAGCACTACCTAGACCTAAACAATCCGTACATGCAGAGCAACATTGAGTACATGAAGAAGCAGTCCACGGATTACCTGGCACTGATGGGTTCACCCGACGAGCTGGCGCCTGCAGCTCCGCGCTACGTGAACGGGCACATAGTGCCCGATATACGTGAGTATTACTTCAGCCATGCCATGTATCAGGTTACTAACTGCGCACGATCACACCCATCTGACCATCCAAATGCACCCACTCTCGCTGGCACACTAACTTAGGCATCGAGGAGCTGCCGGATGACTACATGGCGATGAGCCCGGACTCCGATCCCGATGCCAGCACCGCCATATTCTCACCCACACGCCTCGAAGGCGAGACCTCCGACTTTCCGGACTTCTCTAGCGAAACCACTTTCAATTTCCCAGGGGCGCGACAGTCGCCTACGTTGAGTAACAATCTCAACAGCGGATCGTCTAAGCCGCTCCGCAAGAAGAACGGCATGCCCACTATGGATGTGGCGGACCAGGCGCCGGAGGAGATACCTATGCTGCATCGCCGCTCCACCGGATCGGATGAAAGTCCGGAGCAGGGAAGGCGCTTCAATCAGGCCCTCAAGCAGCAATATGTCACGCCCACTCCGTCCCCTCGCCATCATGTGGAGACCAAAGTCAACGGGGAGTCTTCCGAAAACTATGTGAACGTGAAGCCGCCTAGAAAGAATATACCCGGCAAAACCACTACAGGTGGAGGGGGTGCTGGAGCCACGGAGGCCTTCTCGAATCCCAGCTACCAGCCACTATCCACCGTCAACGAGAAGGAGCAGCGAAGGTATTAGGACGTCCCGGAGCCATTAGCTTAAGTTTAAGACCTCTATGCAACTCAGTTGGAGTTTTAAGTGAAATTTTAATAGAAAATTTTAAATATAATCAACTTACGTAGTGACTTTAGTTGATCATAGGAGAAATAATTGTTAAAAGAATGAAACAGTACTCGATATAACCTTTTAAAAATGTTAAAATTTCAACTTACTTGTTTTGGGGCCTTTAAGAAACAATACTACTTAGTGGCATTGTGAATATACTGAACTAGCTTTAAGACCACACACTCACTCCATGTTATACAATATTAATGCCATTTCATGTTTTACATTTAGTATAGTCTAAGGCGATTAAACTTATCTTGTATTGTGTATACATGTACCTACGCCTACTCAAATACAATGAGTATGATAACAATAGCAATTGGCTTTTATTCACATAATTTATTTCCATCGTAACTAAAGACTCAAGGTCTTATTCATCGATTTTTGCGTCGTCTAAATAATCGCTTAATAAATTTTATCTTAAATCTTTGTGGGTGAAAAAGAGGACAATTGGGAATTTTTTGATAAATTAATCAAACAAAAATTCGTTCTAAAGATGTCTATACTTCAAAAAACCAAACATCTAATAATACATTTTGTAACATTTAATTATTATGGTAATAGAGTATTAGTAATAAAGAGCCAATATATTGAGATATAAATATATCCATTTAATTCTGTTGCAGTTGTGAACCATTTAATTCGTTTTCACATTTCAAATTCGATAGCAAGCCTATTCGATATCGATTTTAGAGCTGTCGCTACTTTTTATTCGATAGTCCGCCTGTTGCCACCTCTAGCTGAAAGTCGCTCTCTGTAATTTGTAATAAAAACTTGTTTTTAGCCCAATCATTTGTTATTTACTTGGCCGCAAGATGATGGTAAGTACAAACGGAAAGGCAAATAAAAATCAATATTGGAATTTTTCAAACAATGAAAATGCTCAGTAGTACTTCATTTTCGTGGCTTCTCAAATGACGCCTCGCCTGCACACAATGAAAGTCTTATCATTAAAAATGGGCGTAATAAGAGTGTACAAAGCTAATGGTTATTTTGCCCCCTAGGACGGCACGGATGACTCAAGTCTGCTAAACAGCCCCGCCACCAACAATGGCGCCTCAATGGAAATCGCCTCGCCCACGAATCCACTTGCCAATCCATCAGCAACAGGCGGTGCACCCGCACCAAGTGCAGCCACAAATGGCAGCGGATCCGCCACATCGCCGGATAGTTCCTCTTCAGCACCAGCCACGCCGGCAGTTCTAGGCGAAAACGCCCTTCACGTCGAGATCTCCGATGCTCTCAGCGAAAAGGAGAAGGTTAAATTTACTGTGCACACCCGCACCACACTGCCGGGATTCTCTAAAAAGGACAATAACGTAGTGCGCCAGCACGAAGAGTTCGTCTGGCTCCATGACCGAATTGAGGAGAACGACGACTATGCTGGCTACATCGTGAGTTTTTGCTCAAAACGTTTTCCACTGCTTACCTTAATAACTTTCTTAGATTCCGCCCTGTCCACCTCGTCCGGATTTTGATGCCTCCCGGGAGAAGCTACAGCGCCTTGGCGAAGGCGAGGGCAACATGACCAAAGAGGAGTTCAAAAAGATGAAGTCAGAGTTGGAGGCGTATGTGTTAAATAATCCGCCAAATACTTATATTATATTCAAATGTACATTTTTTACTTGCTAGTGAGTACCTGGCCACATTCAAAAAGACGGTGGCCATGCACGAGGTGTTCCTGCGCCGCCTCGCTAGTCATCCCGTCTTTCGCGTCGATCAACACCTGAAAGTTTTCCTCGAATACGACCAAGATCTGTGCGCGAAGCCACGCAAGAAGATGGCCATATTTGGCGGCTTTGTCAAATCCTTAGGCAAGACCACAGACGAGATCTTATTGAGCGCCACTGTTCGGGATGTGAATGACTTTTTTGAGAACGAACTGCAGTTCCTTACCGAGTACTATGGACACTTGCGCGAGGCAGCACTCAGGACGGAGAAAATGACGCAACGCCACAAGGATGTAGGCGACTCGCATCAGAAGATTTCAAATGCTCTGACGCAGCTTTCGACTACGGAAAAGGGCAATGTGGAGACGTTTGTGGCCAAGACAGCGGAGATATTCGAAAGAATCAAGGTGAGCTTAGCTCAGCTATTGCCACACTTATATTTGGCAAATTATGTTCTTAATATTTTCTTTTAAAGAATCTGGAAACCCGAGTGGCCAGCGATCAAGATCTCAAGCTGGGCGACACTTTGCGCTACTATCAGCGGGACAGTGACGCTGCCAAAGCTCTACTAATCCGGCGACTGCGGTGCTTGGCCGCTTATGAGACGGCCAATCGAAACCTGGAGAAGGCTCGCTCCAAAAACAAGGATGTTCATGCGGTAAGATTGTGGGATGATCACAATTAGTTTTTCCAGAACTATGTTTCAGATCGTTTAAAGAGCAATTGTTTTCCCTATAAAAAGTTTACAGCGGGGCAGTTTATTCTCACGCTTCACTAATAACAAATAACAAATTATTTGCCTTCTTGTATTTTATTTCTACCGTACACAACCCCACAACTCTGCTCTCTGATCTGCCTGTCCCTCCCTCTTCACTTTTTGTGCGTGTTTGTGGTTCTGTTTCTGCAGCCGTTGGAGGTGCAAGAGGTATTTGGCATTTAACGTTTTAACCGTCGGTTTAGTAGATGTGTCGCCACCCCACGTAACTGCTGCATGTGCTCCACCGTTGCTCAACCTGTATTCACTCTAGCATGCCCTTTCTGTGGCCAACTTGTGTTCACTATATATAAACGTTTTCGTTTACCCTCCAATTAGGCTGAGACTGCCCAGGCGGAGGCCTGTGAAAAGTTCGAATCTATGTCTGCGTGCGGAAAGGAGGAGCTGATCGGTTTCCGCAACCGACGGGTAGCTGCTTTCAAGAAGAGGTAAGCTAGCAGCTGCTAAACTATTCTTATTCTCTGAATTGTACTATCACTTTTTGAAAACAGCCTCGTCGAGCTCTCAGAACTGGAGATCAAGCATGCCAAGACCCAGTATGAATATCTGCGCCAATCGCTGCTAGCGCTCAAAGAGATTGCCTGAGACGGGGAGCCGGAAGTGGACAAACAATAGAAGGATGAGTCACCCGCACATTGTTTACACACCCCATTGAAACGCACGCCTCATCGATTACACACCCCCGGGAGACGAAGTAAATCAATTGTTTAATTGCTAAGCAAACAGTTTATTATTGCACAGGCCAGACCGAGTGCAACATTATTATCTTAGCCCACGTATTATATTAACGAATATTCATTTGTTTTGTGAACAGAGCGCTTTTATATTTGTCAAACAAGCATTCCTCTCTAAAGCATAAACTATAACTGTATTGTAAACACTTGCATTTGAAGCAGAATATAAACGAGAAATATTGTACAGAAGGCAGCCTGTTTGTGAGCAGTCAGTATAGTAGCATTGTTTGTAGTCGACTCGGTAGCCGGGCAACATCAAGGGTTTCCAAATTTGGCGTCCCAAGGAGAGCACTTTGCCATAGTCGCTGAAAATTGTGTTCGTTGTCAGAGTTAGATATATTTCAAAGTCCATACGCCATGGATGAGTTTGGAGTCTTCGATTACAAGCGCCCTGCCAGCGCTACAGATCCCGACTGGAGGACCTCGTACTATCGAGGCCATCGTCACATTACAGACTTGAGGATGGGCAATAAGCTGAACGCAAAGTTTGCGGATAAGAGTATTTATGTGAAAGATCCGCTGCTGTCTGAGAAGCCGACTTCTGAGTGTATGGCCAATTATGTGTGGAAGGTGAGTGGATTGATATGCCTTTGTTGCACCAAAGTCAAACTTGACCTTAATTTTCCAGTATGCCGATCCCAACGCACTTAGGAATCCCTCGCTGAACATGAAAACGCAGTACATGAAACCATTTGAGGAGGCCTCTCTTCGCTTTGTCAAGCGAAAGATGAAGCCCATTTCTAGTGTCAGTCATGACTCGTATGTGCTTAAGGAGCTGCCGGAGGAACAGGAAATATTGCCCGTAACAATGCCCACTCCGGTGGCAGCCACCAAGATAGTCATCGACCGTTCGCAGGCGTCATTTAGCAAGTACCTGGATCCCTCCTCAACCACATACAATCTTTCCTATGTGCGATGGTGTCCCGAGGACTTAAGTGGCGGAGTGGCTGCCCACGACAATATCACATACTGGAATTGGTCGGAGAAGATGCCGCCCATCCAGAAAGTATCCCGCGAAGAGGATCCTACAATGTGTGACGAGGGTAATACGCATAACTGTCCAAAGCGACGTTGTGAGTTTCAAAACCTTACGAAACGAGTGCCGCATTCGGGAATGGTGACCGAGGTGCGCGCTAATTTCACGGACCCACAATTCCGAATGGTTGAATTCGATCCCGATGTCAAGCCCATACTAGTGCACGAGGAAGTCACTCCGTTTGCCGAGAAAAGCGAATACGGCATCTACGGCTCGGGGGAACCAGTTATCAAGTACGTTTAGCAGTTCTCCACGCATCGTTTTGACTTGGTTTTCATTTGGCAGCTAACTTAAATTATTTGCAATATATATTGCATTAAATAAAATCATTATATTGTTTAGTCCCAAAACAACGTAATGGTACATAAGTATGCAAACTCCTTTTAATATGATTAGAGGAAAATTTCATTCAAATGAGTTAAAGCTGTAAGGTAGCAAATGGTAAGCGGACGTGACCAGCACTTCATCATCGTCTTGAATCGCAGGAATGCAGTCCTCTTGCTCCGGCGGCGGAGCCTTGGCAATGTAGATAGGAATGTCTTTTTGGACGAACTCTAGAATGAACTGCCGGCAGACACCGCAGGGTGTGGTAAACCCATCTGGGTGATAGGCTACCACAGCACCCGCCGTGTACTTCTTCTCGCCCTCGCTTATTCCCTTGGCCAGAGCACAACGTTCCGCACAATTACCTGGAGTGAATGCTACGTTCTCGATATTGCAGCCCGTGTAGATCCTGCCGCACTTCGCACGGAAGGCTGCTCCTACTTTGAAGTTGCTGTATGGTGCATAGGCACACCGGCGTGCAGAAAGAGCCGCCTCTAACAGCTCCCGACCGTCCTCACCTGAAGGTGACGGTGTGATTAGAAATGCGCAGGATTCACCATTGTAGCCAGCCCTTACCGACAGCACAGAACGCTACTGTGTACTCCTCCAACATCTGCGGATGTGGCAGGTTCTCGGATTCACTAACGCGACCCTTGTCGCCACTTAGACGCGCCTCCCTGCGGGCCAACTCGCAAAGAAATCCCTCCAGGGTCATCATATATTTGCCTAGTACCTTTCGAAGCTTTTTCTGGCGCAAGTCCTTGATCTTACCGCCAGCGCATTTGGTGCCAGACTGCTCCTGGCGACGAGCTAGCTTAACCTGCAACATTTCCAGTTCCTTCATCTTGTTCTCCAGCTCTTTCCGCTTGAGCTCATCCTGTAGATCGTTTAGGTTTCGCATGTACCGCTGAAGGAGCTTCCGCTTTTCGGTCATTTTGGTAACTTCAAATTTTTAAAACGAAAACAATTTTTGAAAGCCAGAATCAAATACTGAATCTGTAGGCAATTTGTAAGACACACTAATGTCACTTCATCGAAAAAATAAAATATATTTTTTTTCTATATATTATTCTGCGCTACCTGAATTTGCATTAACGTAATTACAGTTGATACTTACTTAGACGACAATTACCCAAAGAACAACTGCTCATTATCATTATCATACCTTTAGAAATTTTTAAAAATTGTGGAATGTCGTGACATGTTTTGATTGCGGCTTACTAGCGAGGTTGATAGCGAGAACGTCAGGATCTCGAAAACTGACCATACACGATTGTTAAAAGAAATTGCCACGACTATAACGATATTTCTTGTTTTCCCAACTAACTATAGAGCTGTAGAAAAATTATATTTTGTATTTGTGATTCAAACGGCAGTAGTTTGATTTTAAATTTTTTAAAGAATCTTTCACTTTTAAATGTGCAGGACATGGTCTAATTAATAATAATTAATCACAAGTCGTTTATCGACCTTTTCTCCATATTTCACTTTCCATTATTTATATCACCACCCCCACTTATTGATTGAAAAAGCTAGAACGCTCTTAAATAGTGTAATTTTCTTTATTGCAATTGATTAGATTAGACTGATAAGACTATTTGCCGGACAACCTTGAACTATCTCCCTTCTGTGTCTTTTCGTTTCTTGCCTGCAGTGGACATTACTTTCGATAGGTGTGAAAGCTGCTCGGCAATAGATTAAATATTGAGGTGCACAGGACGGGATCTTCACTCTGCAAGACATCCTTATTTTCAGAAATCCTCGCATCGAAAGCCTGGGCCACGTAGATGGGTATATCCCCGTTGGCAAACTCGCGGATAAACTGACGACAAACGCCGCAAGGAGTGGTGAATACATCAGGTTCGTAGGCCAAAACAGCCCCTGCGGAAAATTCGGTGGCTCCCTCGCTTACGGCTTTGGCAATGGCCGTTCTCTCGGCACAAGAGCACGGCGTAAAGGCAGCGTTTTCCACATTACAGCCAGTGAAGATCTGTCCACCGGCCTTGGCCCGAAAAGCCGCCCCCACTTTGAAGCCACTATATGGAACGTATGCCCGCTGACGCACTTGGAAAGCAGCTGTCAGAAGTTCTTGAACCGACGGATCTGGAAGTCGAAGCAATGCACGCCATGCAAAAGAATTAAACTTAGATCTTGTCAATGAGTAAATGTGGTATAACTTATAACAAAAGGCTTTTTATGTTACAAAAAACACATTAAGAATTGCTTTGTGATAAATCTGGAGCAGGAATCTTACCCAGACTACCGAAGGAGACAACCTCCTCATTCTTTTCCGGACGTGCGAAATTTTTCGTCAGATGTGTCATATTATTTAAATTCTTTTGGTCCAATGGAGGCACTTTTCTTAATTGTTGATGTATTTTTAGCAGGGTGAGTGCGTGGCTCAGTGTTTCTCCCTTGAATGTCCGGTGGCTAATGGACGGTTTGTAGTGACGGCGACGCGCGAAGTTGGCTATGCTGATATCACTCTCCGCCGTCTGGTGGTGACAGAAATAAGCTTTTTGGTCAAGTCGTGAGAGTGAACCACATCAGTACATATGTAGGTATTAGCCTGATAAGCAACAATCCCGGAGAGCGGTAAAAACACAAGCAGATGCCTTGCCTTGTATTCAAACAACAAACAACGAGGGGTGGGTTTACAGAACATTACAAAGTCACATAAACTATTGCACATGGATGCACCCTGTCCGGTTTGGCTGGGATCTTCTTTCCTATTTTCCGTTCGCGAAGCTGAAGCCGTTGGGCAGCAGTTGGAGAACGCTGGTGCAGAGCACCCTCAATGGAAGATTGGTCGGCTTGGCGGCGTACAGGGGGATGTCCTTGCCGTTGACGAACTCCGAGAGGAACTGCCGGCAGACGCCACAGGGCGTGGTGAAGCCATTATCCTGCTGGGCCACCACTGCACAAGCCACAAAGTCTCGTTTGCCTTCACTAAAAGAAAGGTATATTTTAGTTTAATTTTTGAAAAGGCCAAGATAATATGTAGGAAGATTAGTAGAAGAGTACGGCCATATGTTAAAGTTCTGTATGTACAAACAACATATGCTACAGATAGCATATTACAGATTAGCATTCTTATTTACAATATTGCTGTCAATATGTTAAAATCTAATTTAAATACTATATGCATACATACATACATATGTACAGAGGTAAGCTAGCGTTACGAATAATGAACCAAATATGTATATACAATGTCGGAGAGAAGTCGGGGAAAAAAACTTTTCTGCTGCATTCCGGGAAAGAACACTTTTCTGTTTAATTAAGGGGAGGGGCATAAGCGTTCTCGCTTCTCTCCGTGAGAGAGAAAGAGAACACTGGATTGGACGATCTTGAGTGAGGTTGATATGACGACGGTTGAGTCAAAGAAGTTGAGGAGTGGGGAGTCATTTCAGTTTGGGCAACGCAAGAATACGGAATTCGCTGTGCCTTTCACTGCATGCGTGCATGTTTGTAAATTTGACAAAATATGCCCTTCAATATTCAATAAAAGTTGATATGTAAAGTTCATATGTAAACGGTAGCCAATACGAGCGGCGATTTTACCGAGCGAATGTTAAAATAACTTCTTAAAAAAAAATACTAGTCAATTTTTAAATAATATTTTATTAGATCATATTACAACGAAATTTATCAATAATCAAATTCGGACCGAAAATCGTCTTCTAGCAAAACTACGCACACATGCACACTTTTTTAGTTACTGTTTTCACCCACACAAACAAGTGAATTCTATTTTTAGATTTTCATGCTCTCAATTACGCGAGCGGGGAGAGGCAAGTATTGCCGCCACCAAAAAAGTGGCTGCATAGTGCAAAGCCAATGTATGGACGTTACGCATCTTATTATTCTAATGTCTTTGCACTATGGGGAATTCAACCAGATTTTTGGCAAAAATGTGTTTCTAAAAATTTTGAAAATATTGTTTTTAACGGATTTAGAATTGATCAAAGGTATATGTTATGTAACGGAAATGTTGAATTAACACTCCAATGTTAAAAAATTACAGCTGTAAAGTCAGCTGTGGCAGACATAAGGAACGTGCCATCGGTGAGCTTCATTTTTAGGGCCTACTAAAATTCATATCTTTTCAACCACAAGGCCTAAGCCCATCAAATTTGAAATGAATACTCATTCTTCAAATGTGTACTAGGTGTTTTTACTAATATGTTGCTTATTTTGTGCGTGTAAATTTAGCAATTTGTGTATTTAGCAAGTAGTGTCGTCCGGCCAACTTTTAAAAGAAAATTTCAACTTTGAATAGAAATTTAAAAAATTGTTGAAATTTGTTGAGTAAGAGTTCTAGCTCATGAGCAACATGAGTTGAATGTGCAACATATTGTAGAGTGATTAATCTCCTATTCGAGGATATAGTCATAATTTACGACTTTTTGGGCCTTTTCGCGAAAATTACATTTTTAGTTAGCAACCTCTCGATTAGCAATGCGGCCCTAGTAGAAGTGTGACGCTAGCTCAAAAAAAACTGAATGCAATATTCAAATTTAAATATACGATATACGATATATACAATAGAAAGCTGGATTAGTTTGCAGCAAAATACCCGGCATGGACGGAAGGCAATCTTAGCTTGAACTTACTTGGAAATTTACTTTACTGATGTGTCTCACAAAAGATCGAAAATTTTGAGCCCCATAATATCATCTCTAAATTTAGGCAGTCGCATTCAAAAAGAAAAGCGATTTCCTGTTCCGCGAGAAGTCACTGAATTGATGTCGTGCGAATTTGAACATGTTTGAATGATCCTCATGTATGAAAATGCATTTTTTTAACGTTAAAATACTGAAGAATATATTGAGTAAAAAAAAAAACAATTTTTTTTTTCTTGAGGGGGGTGGGGGCGTGTTGGGCGGTAGCCATACGCCCACTTTGCCAAAATAATTGTTAAGGTGTATAAAAGACTAGAAAAACTAAAAAATTATCATCGTATTTTATATAGTTTACGAGATATTAATTTATGCCAACAAAATGTTCGTTATGTTCCAGGTCAAATTCCTCATAGTGCTTTGGTGCTAGGGTACAAAAAGTGGCGAAACATCATCGCTCCCGATATATGTATGTATATGTACACATCTCAAGCCATGCGTATGTGACCTCGAGAATATTGACCTACTGACCTGATGGCCTTGACGGCTGCCGTGCGCTCCGCACAAATGCAGGTGGCATACGCCCCGTTTTCAATGTTGCATCCGGAATATATGGAGCCATCGCTGGTCCTCAGGGCAGCTCCTACGGCAAAGTTACTGTATGGACAATAAGCCTGCTTCCTCGCTTCCGTAGCAGCCAGGATGAGCTCCTTAATCGAAGGATCTGCAGGACGGACCACAAATTATAGTGACATGGTAGTGCTTCACGACTTCGTACCCAGGCTCTCGAACTCCCGTACATTGGGATCGTCCCTGGCACCGTTGATAAACACTTGTGTCATGGCCAACGATTGTTAATGAATATTTCGCAATAGAAATAGAAGCTCAGCCGATGAACAGCACCAGTTCTCACTTCCACCGCAATAGCATATGCTGCAACAGCTGTTCGCAGCAGGGGTGTACCCACAGCTAAAGTTTAGGGGGTTAGCACTGCAATTTAACAGATGCTTCTGTAATTAAATATATACATAAAAAAAAGTAATAATTTGTTCAGTGTTTTGTAGTTAATAATTTCGTGGGACTAAATATGTACAGGGTGGGACCCCTTTTCAGACGCCGCTGCCATACAGCAATGCTTTCCAACACTGTCACTCTCCATGTAAATAAATACGCAGGTAGATGTGAGGGAACTGCGTCTGCTTTATTTTCTCCTTATCGTACAATTAAAGCCACATCGGAATTGTTAGCGCCCGGTTTCGTGAGCATTCCGACCGGAAAGACCGTGAGTGACTGTTCTTGTGGTTTTCCCGCACAAATATCAACCTAATAGAGTGTAATAATGTCGACAAACCCAAGACCGCAGCGGCAACATTCAGAGGAGGTTCAGATCTCGATGGGCGGTTCCGGTGGAGGAGCCGGCGACGGCGTGCCGGACAGACTGCCTCCGATCAGCGAAAAGGACCAGCGCTTCCCCTACTGCATCGTTTGGACTCCCATTCCAGTGCTCACCTGGCTGTTGCCCATGATCGGACATATGGGCATTTGCACATCGTCCGGGGTGATACGTGACTTTGCCGGTGCCTACTTCGTGTCGGAGGATAATATGGCGTTCGGGCGACCCACTCGGTACTTGAGGTTGCACCCCAAGTACGTGGAAGGCGGCAGTTACGCGTGGGACGAGGCGGTCTCCAAAGCATCAGTGCTCTATGGCACCCGCATCCACAATATCTTCTGCGACAACTGCCATTCGCATGTGGCTACGGCACTCATCAATATGCGCTACAACAACAGCACCGGATGGAACATGATTATCCTCAGTATGTGGCTCTTTGTCTGCGGACGCTATGTCGGAATATGGGGCTTTATCAAGACCTGGTTGCCGTTTGCCATTCTCCTGTCCATCTGCATCATTTTGGGCGTCTATTTCTAATATCTAATATCTCTATTTTATAGTTAAATGCGCGTTTATATAGTGGTGTAGTTTAATATAGTATATGTATGTATGTCCAAAATAGCACTGAGATGCAATAAAGTATGATGACATTTTGAAAGTTATGGAAATAATAATACACGGAAGCAATTAAGATAATTCAACTGGAACAGCTTATCTATATACATACATATGTGCTTTTAGTAGTCCCACCAAATCGCAGATAAGAATTAGGCAATTAATTTGATCATTTATTAATGTTTCGCCATCTGTGAAAATACAGATTTTCGAATACAAGTGCCTAAGATAACGCTTATTCACTGGATAAGTCCCAGTTAAATGATGCTGAACGTGGTCTATAGTAACTATGTATGTACATATGGAAGCCGCTAGGCTGAGTTTGCAATGTGGATGAACTAGAATTAATTCTCGACGGCGCGGGTGACTTCTTCAGCCACTTCAAGGAGTTTTTTCCATTGCTTTACAGATAAGGAGATGCCCTTCTTGCCGGGCAGAGTTTCGCCGCCCTTTTCATAGAACTCGCGAATGTCCACCATTTTGCGGCCGCGGAACTCGTTGATTCGCACCTGGCGAAGTCCTTCCAGGGTCCAAGTGGTGGTGTCATTTCCTCCGGAATCTTGCCGAGCCGACTTTGGAGCAGGCGATTCCTTAGCCTTTTTGCTTGCCGGCTTGTTTCGCTGAAAGAAGTTTTTTAATAGTTATACTAAGTTTTTTGGTATTTCTGGTCAACTTACGTCATCAGGGCCGCTATCGCTATCTGAGCCAGAATCTTGCTTCTTTGTTTTGGGCATTTTTATAGTATTTCCGTAAAACACAAGGAACAAAATGCAAATTGGCGAAAAAAAATGCGTGGAAATTCGCGCTAGTTATGCAGTGTTGGAATACGCGTCGTTTATAGCTGAGATAGAACCGATCCTTAATCGATACATCGATTTATTACAACCTCAAATATTGATTTGAATGGGGTTCAGTTAAATATTATAGTTACATTGTTAAATTAAAACTGTTTTTATTGTACCCGATATTTCCTAAATTTAATATAAAATAGAAATATATATAATATTAGAATGTGCAAATGTATCGATAAATTATAACTTGGTGCTAGCAGCAAAGACGTACTTTTGCACACTGTTCGACCGGCGTCACTTTAGAACGCGCATTTTTTTTTGCAGACTTTTCATTTTGTGGAAAAGTCTCCTGGCGCCAACACACAGGCTTACAAAAAGCCATCACATTTGGTTCATAAAGTGTATATCTTATTTAATCTAGGTAGGTCACGAAAACATCGTTAACAGAAGCGACTTAAAAGAGTACGTGCGTGTGTGTGGTTATTTCTATATTTTACACCGTGTTAAGTATTTTAATAAAAACAAAATGGGCAAGAAAATCGACAACCCTGAGAGCTCAGTAAAGGGTTCTGACGGTGAGGAGGAGGAAGAGTACGCCGTGGAGAAGATCATCGACAGGCGTGTGCGCAAGGGAAAGGTAAGTGATCCAAACCAGACATCCCATTATTTTTGGTCCTAAAACAGCATTTTCCACCCGCAGGTGGAATACTATCTCAAATGGAAGGGCTATTCAGAAACTGAGAACACCTGGGAGCCCGAGAACAATCTTGACTGCCAAGACCTTATCCAGCAGTACGAGGCGAGCCGCAAGGACGATGTGAGTGCAGTACAGCGATGTGCTTAGTACAGTTGTGCTTGCTTGGATTTACATTACATCTCGTTTCGAACCTTAGGAAAAGTCAGCGGCCTCCAAAAAGGATCGTCCTAGCAGCAGCACCAAGGCCAAGGAAACTCCGGGACGCGCCAGTACTTCGGCGTCCGCAGCAAGCAAGCGAAAGTCCGAAGAACCAACAGGTATGCCACCCAACCCATCCAGGAGCGAGCAAAAGAATTGAGTGTATCTACAAATATTTTCTGTACACAAAGTTTTAATTTGACCGCGCAAACTAGTACCTCAAAGTAAATAATGTTAAACAGTACCTACTGTATCCATTGGCAGTTTCAAAAAAGTTTTAGCCACCATTGAACTTTCATATCTCAAACCTCTCTTGACGTCTTATCAACAAATAAAAAACAAGAGTTGGCCTTCACAAGAATTGCATGCTCCATGGTCCTAGCAATAGAAATAGATTTCAGCTCAATACAGATAATACGAAGTTTAATACTGTCAAGCTTTCAAGTTGCATAATTTATAAGAGCGCACTGTATTTATTATTATTTATCTTATTTACTTAGCGCCCGCTGGCAACAAATCAAAACGTACGACGGATGCAGAGCAGGACACCATTTCCGCTTCTGGATCCACCGGATTCGATCGCGGCCTGGAGGCCGAGAAGATCCTGGGTGCGTCCGACAATAATGGCCGCCTGACATTCCTCATTCAATTCAAAGGCGTGGACCAGGCCGAAATGGTGCCGTCCTCTGTGGCCAATCAAAAAATCCCGCAGATGGTAATCCACTTCTACGAGGAGCGCCTGTCCTGGTATTCGGATAATGAAGATTAAACTGCGGTACAGTTGCGGCATCAACAGAGCGAATAAAAACGCTTATACATTTAACGAAAAACCACACACTTAGCATTATAGCCTCTTGCAGGCGCTTACAAAACCCCCCACAACTCGAAGCATCGGACTAAATTTATATTTCTGTCCAGCGTCAGTGTTTGTATTTATCTTATCTTAACCTTTTTTTATGAATAAAAAAACCTTTGTTCTGCAGGAGTCTATATAAGTTACTTATATTTCGATCTTTTTGGCCGACGCTCAGGATATGATACGCATATGCTGTCCATATGGTAATAATTCTGACCATAGCAATCTGGGCCTGTTGTTTTTTGTTCCATTGTGTGCAGATAGAAAAAGCGTTTACGACCCTTGGACTAACTTTGTTCTCTATCTGTGCGTGCATATGAATTAAAAGATTTCTGAAATTTCACAATATCAATAATAAAAATTACGAAACCTGACTATATGGTTATTTATTCGTTGTAAGCAGAAATGTCTATCAATTAATTTAAGAATTTAACAGTTTGTTTGCCACATTGCATTCCGAGTTCTCTAGGACATTACCGCAACAGGACCAGTGTCGTCTGCCTGGATGTCCAGCATGTCCATGACCGCAGCCACTATATCCAGGCATGTGACCCTCACACGAGCACAAGACGTTCCGGTTGCCCTTTCCGGAACAGAAGGAGCAGCAGTGGTAGATGCCCGTATGCGGCCGAACCTGACGCGCCTGGAAGGTGAAAGGACCTCCTTTGATGGGCCGGTCGTTAATGGTGATCGTAAGAATCAATGCGCCCTGGGCATCCGGGGTGAAGGATATGTTGTAGGTGCCATCCCGATTGTCCGACACCTCCACGGGCAGGAACTTTGAGCTCGAGTCCTTGTACTTGAGCATGCAGTTGATCTCCAGGCCACCGTGGCATAGGGAAACCCCATCGGCATCTCTGGAGTGAAGTAGAAGGTCCGCTTTTTTGTGGAGGCGCAGCTGGGAAAATCCCTCCCATTCCAAGGTGCATAAGCCAGGCTCCACCACTTGCATGGTGATGATGCCATATAGAGGTATATCGCGCTGCTCCCTTGTCGACGGAGCGCGTATTTTTGGGAGGAAGTGAAGCGAGTCAGATATCTGAAAACAATTGTGTGCGTTATATAATTGAAAAGTTTAGACGAGCAAGTGGGATACCTACTTTGGGATCCACGGGCGGCTTAAATTGCTGACAGTACTCTAAACGCCTTAGAAGTATAGTCACATAACTCAGAATTTCCACATCAGCACCAATCTCGCACAGTTCTTGGCTAAATCTTACCGCATCCATGGCCTGCTGAGTGCGTTTTTCTAAAGGACTACCTCAGATAACTAGGGCTTTAATCAAATGAAAAGTGTCTTACCCAAATCAAGTTGCTGCTTGAGTACCAACTCCACTTTGGACTCCCTGGCTCTGCTGATTTGCTGGAGCAGAGTCTTGCGATGGACTGCCAGGGCCTCCATGTACTGCTGCATATACCGCTCCACTTGACTCTGGATGTCGTCACACCTGTCGTTGATTCCACGTGCTATGGCGTTCAACCTTTCGATAGAGTGCTCCGCATACTGACAGAGGGGACGAGTTTGATCCGTAGCGTCTTTGAGTAGTTTTCCCTGATGTCCAATTGCCCGGGATATGGTCTCATGTCGATGACCTTTGTGGAGGAGTACCAAGCAGTCGGTGCAGGCCAGTTGTCGGCATTGGCTGCAGAATGCCTTCAGTTCGAAGTTGGTATGGATTCCACATCGAAGCACTAGTTTGCTACTGTCTCCCAATCCCATCTGCTGTTGCTTTTGCTTTCTGGCGCGTCTAAGCTCCAGGATGCTTCTCATCCGGTGGTTTGCGGTGCTCCTTTGCCTTTCGTGTGCCTCTTTGCACAAGGTGCAGAGGTTTAAGGTGCAGCTAATGCAGTGGTAGGTGGCCTGGAAAAGATTATAGACCCTTAGACAGCACTCAAATCACTTAATGACTTCATCCTTCTTACGCTGATCTCCTCTGTGCAAAGAGAGCACCAGACCCTGGAGATTACATCCTCCCCAGCCTGTAGTCGCAAGACCTCTATGCGTCTCACTAGCAAATAGTTTTGTGGAAGCTGGCGTACTCCTCCTAAGGGAAGATCCGTGGGATAGTTACAGGTATGGCACTGGATGCAGCGGGTGGATACCTCGCTCACAAAACTTCCGGTGAATCGGGTGCCGATGGAACTGTTCGAGCGCTTTCCTTCACTTTTTGACTATTAGAATAAAGTAGGGAAGCACAGGATATAGTATCTTTTTGGAGACTTGTACGATTCTTCAATTCTTACCCTGATCACCAGGCGATCCATGGACTTCTTTCTTCTCAAAGTAAAACTGGCTCCTCGCTGCCTGGCAGGTGATACTGTCGCAGTAAGTTCCGCACTGGATCCACCCATCTCCGACCTTAAGCTATAGTTCGAAGGCTCCTCGCTACGGGCTTGATCCTGATCCCATATAGATTCGTCCTTGAAGTTCTCGCTGACCAGACATTGGAGACAAAAGGAATGCAAGCAGTACAGTGTCCTGGGATCAGTGTAAACATCCAGGCAGATGCCGCACTTGAGATCATCTGTGAAGATTACAGGGTTCTCGGGAGGGGTACTGGGTCTCAGAATAATGCTGGGTGATGGTGAGACAGGGGGTGAGACTGCGGGAGATCGTGAGGGACTCCTGGTCAGTGGTGATGGGGCATCGAAGACCTCTGGTCTTGGAGACATTGTAAGCAAAAGTTGAGGTAGCATCTGCACCTGGGGTTGCGTAGTGTCTGGAGTTGGAGGTGATACTCTCAACTCCGGAGAAGCCTTCAAGCTGAGTAGCCTCTTGGGATGCAGTTGCTCTTTCGCTTTTATGGGTTGTGCCACCGTAGCATTGCTGGCCTGGCTGCTGCTACTACTTTGTACGGAAACGGAGGAGGCCCCGCTGAGTATGTTATCCAGTAGGGATTCAGGGGAAGTAGAGCTACCACCTCCAGCCAAGCTGCTAGTGGGCTCACTGCCACTGTCCCTATCCTGCACTCCGAGTTCTACACTGGACAACCCTGTCCCTGACGTCCCTGCTTGGGCACCATTCGACAATCCCAAAGTCCTCGACCTTCGGATGGAGCTCTTTGGTGCGAAACTCGGTAGCTTTGGCACTGATGGGAGTTGTATTTTCGAATTCGCTTCGCTCTTTGGGGAAATGGTGAAGGCAAAAAGCTGTGGTGCTGATTTGCGACGCACTGCGTCTGGTAAGGGAGCAGTCTGTAGATTATTCTGCGGAGTCTGCGAGTTTTTTCGTAGGGAAATCTTGGCAGAACTCAACTTTATCTTAAGTTTTCCTAGGGATGCACTGGGTGTCACAACTGGAGGAGGAGGAGGGCTCGGGACCACCACTTCCAACTCTCCTCGGATGCGTTCGTAATCCATTAACTGGGCACTCTTGTTCCCGATGCTCGTTTTTCGCTTGAAAGCGATTTTCGAGCGACTTTCCCTGCTCATGCTTCCAAATTATGCAATCCTACAGCTCTGACTACGCATTCGTGGCAATCTGGAGCACTACCGAGTGTTCCCGTTGCCATTGGGACTGAAACTGAGACTGGGTCTCGGACTTGGTTGCTGCCTAATCCAATTACATTCCTCATTGGAAACTCACGGCGAGTGGAGAGGTGGCAAAAGTCTGACACTGACAATTGTGCAATTATCTGTTGGGTGCTCATTCTAAAAAGTTCTTTCATGAAAACCTGTCACTTGCTATTGACTTTTCTGATTTTCTGAATCCAGAGGTTTGAATCCATTGGAGTAACCAAAGTGAAAGTGGGGTGAACGGGTCATCTCACCTTACCCGTAACCCCCTAAAACCCTTGAACTGAAACTATAGATGGACCCGGTGTCGCCAATAAATCAAGTATTTGTAAGTAAATAAAAGACTTATTTGTTTTACCATTTTTCTTAACCATAAGGTACGCTTATATTCATAATTTATGTAACTATGTACATATGTGATCTTAAAATGATTCCTATAAAAGTGGTTAAGAACAGCGGAGAAAAACACTTGTGTATTTATTCATCTGCTCCAAACTTCCGTTAATAGCTCCGTTGGCTGATCGAATGGTCAAGTAACCACTCACATTGACATAATACATTGAAGATTACAAAAGCCACGGAAGCTTTCTCTCCTACTACGTACTCTCGCCCGAACCCTCACACAATTACAATGCTCGCTCTTTTACTTTCTCTCTCGAACTGGGACTATAAATGGGTGGGAGAGGGAGCTTTTCGAGCGCAGTATTTAGGGGTATATTCTGTTCCTGTGACAGATAATGCCCGTTATCCAGAATATATCGTATGTATGCCCAATAACTATAAAAAGTAATTTATGCTGTTATTTTTATTATTTATATATGGGCTTTCTGTTCCGGTTCCCGAGTTGTTCCTATCTAATATATAAGGTAATGGGTATATTCTGGTCGGTTCTCTTCATTCCAGCTGTCCCACTTGTTTTGACAAGCAGCTGGCCCAGTGGCTTTTATTTTCAACCCGCTCGTAGACATCAGTTGCAGTTCGGAAGCGGAATCGGTTGATATTGTTGCTCCGATTCGGACGCGAAGTATTTTCCTTTTGTAACCTCGTATTTTCGACTTCAAAGAATCGGCAAGAGCGCATAGAACCGTCCTAAAAAACTTTCCCTTACGTTTACGAGTTTTGATTTAATGTGTTGTGCTGCTTCCATGTGATTGGAACTTTGACTTTGTGCGTTTATGGAACCCTTATCCAAACCAATGGAAACACACGGAATCCGTTGACCCTTTGTGCCACAAGAAAATTTTCATTACGTTTTGCGGTATTTGTTGGTAGTTTGCTGTTTCTGGCCGTTTATCGTGCTTTGCTTTGTTGTTGATTTCCGTGAGGGACGCGCAATCTTCCATTCACCTCCGCTGCTCCAGTTCTGGAAACCACCCCCGCCATCGTAAAGCCCATCGTTTGCCGGTCCCCAACAATATGGAAGCGGTACGTATTCGCATCTTTCGCCGGTCCCAAATATTCAGAGCTATTTAGGAACTTGGGAGCGGGGACCCGGCATCTGGGTTACAAAGTCCAAGTCCAGGGCGATAATGCTGCTCGAGATATTGCGCAAAACGGTTGAAGTCTCTTCTCTGAGACTCGATCGGTTTCGATTGATCATTCACTCAATGAACCGAAATTCCAGAGGAAAAATGAGTAATTTATGCTAAGCATCGTCTACATCGTCAGCTATGAAATGAAAGACTAAAAGTGAATGCTCAGCCCAAAAAAAAAAATTGAATAATCTAGAAAACCAAAGCTGAATAATGCACAGTCTCCAGAACGAGTTACTTTGCCAAATTGGCCTTTGATAATATTGCGAATACATTATATAAAATATTTTGTAATTGTTAAGCGATTGCTAAACATGGTAAATAAATAACACATTGGGAATCAGGTTAAAGTGTCTGCCCCCTTGAGATTGGCCAGACCGCTTTGATCTGATATTTGATGAATAATAAGCAAGCACCTGCTGATAAGACCTGATTCCCATAACTCCACATGGTGAATTGTTGATGCATGGGACTAAAGTCCCACTTTTAATAATATGATTAAGCCATGGCGTTTTGAACGAGCGAAATAAACAGTTTAAAAGAAGATAAAAATGTATTGTGGGTAATATATAAATAAAGCGAGATAATTGTTATTAGCATGGATTTGTTAGGTTTTCATACTTTTATTTTAAAAAATTCGTTTAGGGTTTGAGACGGCTTGTGCTTTAATAGTATTTTATGACCCATTTAAGAAAAACTACAGCAATTACAAGTATATGGCCACAATCCCAGACGTGCGATGATTATACGAATTTTAAGTTAATTTCACACACTTGTTCATACAAATGAAACAAAATAGGATTCTGAATCTCACTGCTAAGCAAAATGAGAAGAAACTATAAACTAAATTTGTAAAATATACTGAACCCTTATTGTAATTATCGCATAAAGATCATAAGCTGAACATAAATGCACTCTTCTCTTTAGGTTGCAAAGAATGGCATGGAAAACTACAGATTTGGCAGTGTGGACTATGCAGTTTTCCTGGGTATGATCGTATTATCCACCAGCACGGGAATCTATTTCGGGTGCATCAAGTGAGTGACCTTTGAAGAAATCGTCGGAATATTGCCAAACAATTGCTGTAATTACAGGAAGAGCAAGGTGAAGCTCGAGGAGGCGGAACCCACTCTGCCGACCACCACGCCAGAAAGGCGGAAACACGATTTCGGATCGGAGAAGATGAGCGAGTATCTGCTCGGGTCACGCAATCTGAAAGTTTTCCCTGTTGCCATGAGTCTGATAGCCAGGTAGAGTACGGTAATTACCACACCCAAACATCCCTGTAATCTGTTCCCTTTTATTTTCAGCTATATATCTGGCGTTACCATACTGGGTACTACCTCTGAAATCTACAATTATGGCACGCAATATTGGTTTATAGCCATCGCTATAGTGCTCCAAGGCATTGCCGTCTCCTACGTCTACATACCAGTATTCTCGGCTCTTCAAGTAGGCTCTTCCTATGAGGTACGACACTCGTAAATTCTAGAAACTGATTTATTAATTTACAATCTAATAAGCCGAGAATCGTATGGTTATAGTAAAAGTATTAACTTCCGGAGCACAACTAAAAATGTAAATGGGGTTTAAACTGAAATATTTACTTATTTGGTACCTAGCTGAACGACAAAATACTCACCATTTCCTTCCATGACGAGTTGGTTAAAATAAAAGATAGACAAGTTAGTTTGTAGTGGTTGATAAGAATGACAAACTATCTAAGAAGCTTCCGTCTTCCCCCTTTTACTTTTCTATTTGTTTCCAATCAATGAACGGAGGACGTAGTGAACACTTTAATTAACTGGGAATCGGAGACCACCCTCTAAGTGGAATTTCTCGGACTTTGCGCTCGCCCACTTGTTGCGACTTTTTTCTGTATTCCAGGGGCTCGATATGATTAATTGCAATATGTTTTGCTGCCACTTGACAATTGTGTCGAGCAATAAGCTTTCATTTTGTTCTTTATGACGCTAGTTTTCAAATCCTAAAAGCAAGTCATTTGAATAATGAAATATAATTCTGTTTGCAGTACTTGGAAATGCGCTTTCATTCGGTGGTACGAAGTATTGCGTCCTTCATGTTTATTCTGGATGAGGTAAGTACAAATTCAAGTTGGGACTACTAAGTTGTATTTATAGTCTATCCAATTTTAGATTCTGTTTCTGCCTTTCATTGTGTATGTACCAGCAATAGCTCTAAATCAGGGTAAGCTTAGTTTGTCAAGTGCTTCAAACACACCTATAACCTCTCAATATTCCTGCAGTATCGGGCATTAATCTCCATGTGATTGCAGTGGTAATTGTGGTCGTGTGCGTTTTTTACACATTTGTCGTAAGTTTTCAAGAGTTTGATACCTATGTGTTTATACTAATGGCGTGTGAATGGAATATTACAGGGAGGAATCAAAGCAGTGGTCCACACAGATGCGTGGCAGGTGCTGGTCATGTTTCTTTCCGTTCTTGCTGTGGCTGTTTTGGCCACTGTCTATGCAAATGGCTTGAATGTCCTTTTTGATGATGCTGCCAAAGGCGGCCGATTGATCTTTAATAATACAAACCCATCGCCTTATGTTCGCCATACGGTCTGGAGCGTTCTCATCGGGGGATTCTCCTACTGGACTTCATTCAATGCTGTTAACCAGACCATGGTTCAGCGATACATGTCTCTTCCATCGCTCAAGAAGGCTCGTGCTTCCATGGCTATTTTTACTATTGGTGTAGCTGCCTTCGTTTCTGTTTGTTGTTATGTGGGACTGCTAATCTATGAGATGTATAAAGATTGTGACCCTCTAAGTGCGGGACTAATAACCGTAAGTAAATAATAAATAGTTTTTCAACGTTGCTTACGCGGTTATCTTTGCAGCATGACGATCAACTACTGCCGCTCTTTGTCGTCCAGAGTGTGGGTCACATCTATGGTATGTCTGGTTTGTTTATAGCTGGAATATTTGGAGCTGCCTTGAGTTCCCTTTCCGTGGTCCTAAACTCAACATCCTTGGTAATCCTGGAGGATATAGTTCGCGGCTGCTTCAAGATGCAACCAAGTGAAAGAGCCTCAACCATTCTTGTCAAGTCAACTATTATAGTTCTTGGCGTGGTGGCCCTCTCGCTGGTGTTTGTCCTGGAACAACTGAGTGGAATCCTGAGCATTTGCACTTCAATGACGGCCATTGCAGCTGGAACCACTTTTGGTCTGTTTACCCTGGGAATGCTCGTTCCCTGGGCCAATACTGTAGGCACTGCTGTGGGCGGAATTGCAAGTGCTCTGCTCGCCGGGTGGATATCCTTTGGTACGCAGTTTACTATTGCAGCAGGTGAATTGAATTCTCAAAAGCTTCCCGTGTCCGTGGACGGATGTGTGGGCAATGTAACCCTTCGGGAAAATATATGGGTAGATGAGGAACAAGTTTTTCCACTGTACCGACTGTCCTACCACTGGATAAATCCCATTGGCGTGGCCACAGTCATAGTGGTAGGCGCATTAGTCTCCCTTGTGACCAAACCAACAAATATGAAAACTCTAGATCCGGATCTAATATCACCAGTGATTCACAGGTAATTATTGTAACCCTGTTTTTAACTTCTGTCATTAAGTAAATACTTTCTTTTAGATTCCTTCCGAAAGAGTGCTTTAGTGGTCGCAATCTCCACGCGCAGGCGCACAAAAACCTCCTAAACGTCTCCTAAAATAGACGCACCAACTTCCTGTGCCAAACTAGATGGATTTGATCGAGAAATCGTGGTCCTATACCTGTTTCATTGAACTCCACACCCTGTTTTGTTAGCATAGTTTGTAGTAGTAGTTGCTTTGTGGTAGTTACCTTAAAGATAGCCTAGTCTAGTACAATGCGATCCAGCTATTGGAGAACAAACAACCGAAGTACAGGAAACTATGAATCTGCATCTCATAATCCCGAGTGCACAATCATTAGCGTAATATAATTATTGAATTATAATATAGCTTTATTTAATTGTTCTGTTTGTATCTGTTCTTTACTTTCCAGCCTTTGTTCAAGCATTATTTTTTGGCATTTTCGATTTGTAGTCAGCAGACTGTGTCTCATTGTGTATTCCGTATGACTTTACAAGCATAATGTCTGTGATAAATTCAATAAATAGATCATACATACTATCCGAATTTTGTACACCTAGAATATAGTTAAGCGATTGCAAAGCAGCAGGAATGATATGACCTCCGTCTGGATCTGGGATCTGAGTCTGGAATCTGGCGTAACTAGTCTAAACTAAGCCCCAATTAGGCGTCAATCACAAAAGAGGATGTGCCTTGTATAGGCATGCTTGTACATACTAATTAACCTTCCGATGAACTGCAGCCGACGACTGTCTTCTTCCTTGGATACACTTTCGCAGCTGGAACCCTATGACAATAAGACAAAGAATGACAGCACTCAGATAGCTATTGAAGACAAACTGCTGTGGCAGCATTTTGCACTTGGAAACGACATAGTCATCGGGGGTTATAGTGGCCTAAAATTAACAGCTTGTTAGTAGAAGTTCGGAGGGCTTGCAGTCGTAAGAACAAATATAATACCCACCAGCATAAAGCTGGGATTGACTTTGTTTCGCCAGCTGAAGGAGGCCACCGTGTACTCATCGATTCCCAGCCGATTTACACTGTGACAAAAATGATGTGAATGGCCGGCGAATGCCAGCCTAGGTTTAAGCAGCTCTCCCAGCATATCCGTGGCATCCTTGGAGAGCACATGAAACCGCTCTCGAAACGCCTCGATGTACGGAGCATCGTGCTCCTCGCACATGGTATCCGAAATGCGATATGTGGGGAAGTGCTGCAATAGAATTGGCTGGCTGTATGGGTGCCGCCTGGTGCGGGCGCACTCCGCCTCTAGCGGATACTTCATGCAGTGCAATGTCCGCGAAATGTTTTTCAACTGATCTTCGGCCTGGGTGCAAAACATGCAGCCATCGGCTTCCATAGCCATCGAGTTGATCACCACAAAATGGATCTGCTTAATGGTGTACAAATTAACCGAGGAGTTGTTTAAATAGCTCTCGAAGCGCGACATAAAGAAGGGATGCATTCTGGAAAACACACATGAGCGCGGTGAAATAAATAGTAGAATATAAAACTGTATTCACTTACTTGTAATGGAAGCCCACGTCATGATTTCCCGCAACACTGATGAGCGGAATTCCCGGTGGTAGGTGAAACATCTTCAGGTAGCGCCACACATATTCCTGAAACTGCTTGTCGCTGACCATGTCGCCCTCATCGAACAAATCGCCCAGGACGAAGACCACGTCTGGCTGGAACAGACGGGATGCAGCCTGAAAGGCCCGCGTCATGTGCCACTCCCGGTAGAGCTTGTCCAGCCAGTGGCCACGATGCGGTCCTAGGAGATGCGGATCCGCTAGAATCATTGCCCTAAGCGGATCGTCCACATACTTCTTTCGCTTTATCTCCGGCCACTTGCACTTTTGCAGCACCACAAAGTCCGCCACATATTCGCAGAAGATCAGGGCGCACAGGACGATCACAAAGCATGCGTAAAGAAATCGCATTTCAGGATTTCCCACCGGCTTAAAAAATAACAACAAATTTATTCTAGAGCTGAAAAACCATCAACGATAGTATCGATCGAAACGGGTGTGCAACTCGATATACATTTACGATACTCGATAAATTAAACAGTGCTGTCAAGCGGCTGAGAGTTACAAAATGGGGCACTATTGAAAGTTAGGCTACTTGAAACGTAAATACATTGAACAAAACTGTAACTTAGTTATCACTTGTATGGGATTAGCTATTGAACAAGAAAACAATTACATTTACAAAGCAAATATTTTGATTTGCCAGCTGATAACTTCACAGAATGACACATAGGTGGCGGTACTAATACGAAGTTCCTTTTCTATTTGAAGAATCTTAGACAGATTGATTTGTAAGAAGCATTATGGCTAATATATAATGTTGTTTATTAGGAATAGGTATTGTGCATTGCATGCTGCTTACAAGCTAACTAAAAGAGATCGTAAAAATAGTTTAGGCCTTGGCCCAGTTCCCAGATCGAAATGCCAGTGCCTAATTCCTGGGCGAGCTTTATTCGCTCGTTTATGGAATAGAGAGTGGGATAAAAGACAATGTGGCGACCGTCGTCGTTTCTGAAAAGGAACGAAATCTATTATATTCGAAATCTATACTCCCTTCAATAAAAAACTCACTTGATTTCAAAGAAATTTTCCACATCCCGCTCATCGTAAGTAAGGTGCTTCTTCACATGCCTGACCAGGTCCAAGTACTGAGAGAAGGTTATGGGTCCACCTCCATCGGGCGTGTAATCATTACCGTACATATTCAGTCCCAACAAAATTTTAGCCCGCTTTGCCTTCATATCAGTACAACCTTCTGGAGCTATTGTCTCCACAGCCTTACGCACGAAATATAATGGTGCATTTGCTCCAGGGCGCTGTACACTGGAAAAGTCGTAAGTCATCAGAGAGAAAGCGAATATGTGCTTGAACAGCTTGTCCATGTGCTTTTCTCCGAAAAGGTGGCCCGTTTCCTTGCGGAATGGAGGAATGACCAGAATGAGCCGCAGCTGTTGCTTCTGGAGTTCTTTGGCTAAATTATGTAAAATAATTGTATTAAAATAAGCCGAGGGTTGCAACCCATTGAACTCACCCATTTGCAGGACCAATGTGTACAGAATTTTATCATCTATGCGTCCAGCTAGCTGGGACCAAACCTCCAGGACGAGTCCATCAAAGCCATTATCCTTACAGCACTTAATCAGCACTTCATTGACTTTCGTCCTCTCCTGGGCGTCGCTAAGCAGGAGCTTAATGTCCCGATCAGTGAAGTGATCGAATATAAAACGGGGATACACTGAAATCAAGGAAACGTGAATATAGACTAACGAAAGCGGAAATCATTTCCCAGTACCTTTAACTGTTCTCTGATTGTGTACCTGTTTACCCTTCCTCCGGACATCGGTTAACCAACCTGCATCGATGTCATGGGTGCCAGCTACGGCATAGCGATCTCCCTGCTTGACAATCTGCAGCCAAACCGGCGAGATGATGTCGAATTTCTTGGCGAAGATCTTCGCCACATCATAGCCATGCGAGTTCCACTACGAGCAAAGTAAACAATTGATTACTACACATGCACAAAAAGTGCGAGTGCGTCCTCTGCTTACTGGAGTCACATAGCCCATGGTGGTGCCATTGAAGCGACGCAATCCCGTCTCCTTGAAGTACCCTCGGTGATTGCCTACGATGTCCTTGGCCAGGGGCTCGGGACTTACCAATCCCAGGTCGAAAACATCTTGGTCTTGCGGACCGCCACGCAGAGCATTTTCCTTGGTTTTGCTCTTCGATTTGTGGCTGTCCGGGGCGAGGGTTCCGTGGACGTAGGTCAGCAGGAGAAGCAGGAGAGCGAGGAGGAGCACGAGCGCATTAGGCGCACGCATTTCGACAGGAGGACAATCAGGACCACAGCATAAATCGCACAAAAACAAATAGCATACAAAAAAAAAGCCGGCAGCAAAGTGACCATAGCGTACAAAATGACACTGAACAGCGAAATGCATCACTTGTCAAAATGGTCACCCTAAATTGGATATTTAACGAGCTTTTCTGAATTTCATTTAAAATCAAAATGATATATATTGACTTCAAAATATAATGACCGAAATATTTAAAGTTCAAAACATTAACAGACATTAATTCGTATCGAAATACCTGCTTCCGATTCAAATTACCCGCTCTGTTTTTAACGATTGCTCTTCCAGAATCGATATTACCCCGCAGCGTTGCCGTATCGCATCGAAAGCTGCTCAGCTGTTAGAAGCGTTTGACTTTTTTTTGACTTTGATACATTTTCTTAAGCGCAATTGCAATATAATTTGCAATTGCTGAAGGAACAATGCGCGATGTGCCGAAATCGTAAGTATTGAAGCATAGAAAATAGTCGCAGATAAATGCAAAGCATTTTTCAACTTCCAGTCTCAGTCTCTCGGTCACAACTCCAGGCGGCAGTTCGGGTGCTCCGGACAGTGGACGCCACAATAGCTTGGAGGAGATCAATCTGGACCAGTTCCTCAAGACGTCTAACTACGAGGACACGGTGAAGCAGCTGGACATCTACTATGGCATCGGTGAGGATTTATATAACCTTGGAGTCGTCTGTGGGGCAGGCAATTGAGCACCAATTGACGGCGTCTATTAATAAGCATCGCACATCGCGAAATGTCGACGCCCCACACTTGATAGTAAACAGAATCGTTTGTTTATTTGCATAGCCAATTAAGAGGCGATAACCGGGTGAATCTAACACTTTCTCTTCCCTCAGTCAAGCGACAACTGCTGCGGTACCAGAGTCCCATCACCGGCTTGTTTCCCGTGATGAGCACCGACCAGGTGGTGGGATCCGTGCGGGACAGTGTGTATTGCGCATCCGCCGTGTGGAGCTTGTACCAGGCCTACAGGCGGATTGATGACGACCGCGGAAAGTCCTACGAACTGGGTCAGAGCACTGTGAAGTGCATGCGAGGTATTCTGGAGTGCTGGGTCAAACAGGCTTCCCGGGTGGAGCTCTTTAAGCAGCGCCAGTCCAATCAGCACGCCCTGCACAGCAAGTTCCAGCTGCACACCGGAGAGAAGATCTATCCGGATGAGTTTTACAATCACCTGCAGATCGATTGCGTGAGTGCTAGAGGATTTCTTATCAAAGAGTTTTAAAACGCAATGATTCTTCTCCCGTAGGTTTCTCTCTATCTGTTGTTCCTCGTCCAGATGATAACCTCTGGCCTGCAGATCATTTACACCCACGACGAGGTGGCTTTTGTCCAGAATCTTGTGTACTATGTGGAGCGCGCCTATCGTACGCCCGACTTCGGCATGTGGGAGCGTGGCTCCAAATATAACAATGGCACCCCAGAGATCCATGCTTCCTCCATTGGCATGGCTAAGTCTGCATTGGAGGCAATTAACGGATGCAATCTGTTCGGCGAGAAAGGAGCTTCATGGAGCGTTGTCTATGTGGACATTGATGCCCATAACCGCAATCGCAGTATTTTCGAAACCATGCTGCCCAGAGAATCAAGCTCGAAGGTGGTATCTAATGAATTTATCTGTGATTTGCATCATTTGAGTGTCTACTTTTAGGGAGTGGATGCTTCACTGCTCCTCACCCTTTCCTTCCCAGCCTTTGCCTCGCATGAAGACCGTCTGGTGGAGCAGACCAAACAAAATGTTGTAAATCGATTGCGCTGCAAAATGGGATTCAAGCGCTTCACCCGTGATGGATTCCTCAGTAAAAACGAGGACAAATCACGACGCTATTATCACTCTGGCGAGCTAAAGGAATTTGAAGGCCTGGAATGTGAATGGCCGCTCTTTTTCATAGCTATGATTATCGATGGCGTGTTCAAGAATAACAATGAACAAATCGAAGAGTTCCAAAACGATCTGAGGCGCTGTTTGCGTACTGACGTCAATGGAGATCCCGTGGTGACCATGTACTATGCGCCGGATGGAGATGGCTCCTACATGCGTGCTCCATCGCAATCGTTGTTCCTCTGGGGACAGTCCTTCTTTATCATAGCCCAGCTGCTGACCGCAGGACTCCTACACATAAATGAATTGGATCCAATCCGTCGATACTTGCCAAGCTATAATCGCCCCAGAAGGGCGGGTCGCTATTCGGCTTTTCAGGTGAGTTGGAATCCTGATACTTGCAGGGTACTAAAGGCTATGAAGTGTTTTCTGAAATTCTTAACCAATGGCAAAGCATTATATTTTGAATTGAAGTTTCATATCGTCCTACCTGAAATCAGAAAGCTTTGATTGCTTCTAAGCCATTGGGAAGACATTTCAGAGCGTCGGTTTATAAGGGTTCCTAAATGCCTATCTGGGAGTTTCCGCTTCTGCCGCCGCTGCCGCTGATGAGTTTTGTGTGTCTGCCGTGTGTGTCTGCCTTCGATCTCAATTGGAATACTTTACACATAAGTTGTTTTTTGCCTAAGTACATTATATGGGTTTAGTTTATAATTGGCTCTTGATACTTAATTCTATCTACATCTGTTCATTCTCTACTACCAACCACTACCAAATACTACTGCTACCACACGTCTATATATCCAATATGATCAAAATCAAACCCCAAATTGTAAAATAATTGGTTTCGTAAAAACAGGGCAAAGCTATTGATGAAAAACACAAAGTAAGTAGATGTCCTGCTGTACCAAACTATTTTATTGATTTCCAAATTCAAAATTATCTAAAACATAAATTATACGTATGTGTACAAACTAAATTTTGCTTTTTAGACCACAGACACATTCGCACAAAAGATCACCTAGTTTACATTGTGGCTTTTTATGTTCAAGACATGGCAAGACACACTGATCGAAAATATATAACTATGACACACTTTACGATCAAATCACACACCTACACTATAGAAATGATTATTTGCTTATTTCCAGTATGAATTATTATTTCTCTATTCCCGTTTTATTTGTATATAGTGAACAAATTCTTTTTGGTATCTAAATCAAAAGTTTTCTTTCTGCTCTTTTCGGTTTCTTTTCCTCCTTATATACCTATCAATATACTGCATATTTTGTTTAAAAATGAACATAAACACACGCTCTATAGGCTAAACCGGGCACTGTAAGTAATTGTCACCAGACTTTTGGGTTTATTTACGTAGTATGCAGTTCCTAATTCATGTTATTAACCAAATGGCCGCAGAAGCTTGAAATGGCTTGATATTTCAAAGGTGCTAACACTGGGAATTAGCCTTAAAAAGTTCAATATAATGATCACGCCTTCCAAAGTGCAATGCATTCTTAATTACACGTGTTTTTCGGGGCAGCAATTGAAAATAAAATGCCAAAGGACAGCAGCTTTGGTTGAGCCCTTAGAAAATGTTGACTACTAATTAACTGCCATTGCTCCTCTACTAAACATTCCGCATTGTGCATATAGAAACCACGCATACCTATAATATTGGATGACAAAAAGGTAATTTTTGGGTCGAAATTTTGGGTCTTCACTGGCCTAGTTTTGAATAGGAACACGAAGATATATTAATTGGAAATCCTTAAAAGCCACGGTTATCTCTTCAAATTAGTTCTTGATCACGTATGATAAACTTTTCAAAATTCGATCCCAAATTTACTAATGGGGCTTTCAAATTTTAAGATATCATAAAGTTCTAATACTTGTTTGGCATGTTTATATCCTCCAACTTTTACTTAAGCTCTCCCAACTCCCGCACGTTTATTATTCCTCTCATCCTCTCTTCAATTTATGTTTACCTTTGTGTGTTTTTGCATTTTGGCATCTGGCTAGTCCAAATTCTCTTGTCATGTGATTAAAATCCAAGAATATTGAATTGGCCTCATGCATCCTAACATGTTGTACTGTCAAAAAATAAGTGCATCTTCTAATAATACTTCGGTAATCCTTACAGGGCACTGCCACTGATCTTGTGGTGCAGATTGTCCTGATTGCCGAGTCCATGCGACTGCAGGCTATGATGGCCACCTATGGCATTCAAACACAGACGCCACACGAGGTAAGTCGAAACGTAGATCGCGTATTTTGAAACAAGCATATCTAAACATTTTTTGAACAGGTGGAACCTGTGCAAATTTGGAGCTCCACCGAGCTCATAAAAGTATATCAACATCTCGGTGTCAACAATAAGGTGGGCCTGTCTGGTCGTCCGTCCAGACCTGTGGGTTCATTGGGCACCAGCAAGGTGTATCGCATCTGCGGCATGACCGTTCTCTGCTACCCACTAATATTTGAGGTCTCCGACTTTTATCTCTACCGGGACATGGCTCTACTAATTGATGACATCAAGACAGAGCTACAGTTTGTGGGAAAGTACTGGCGACTATCGGGCAGACCAACAGTGTGTCTGCTTATTCGGGAGGAGCACATGCGTGATCCGCAATTTAAGGAGATGCTCGACCTCCTGGCCATGCTCAAGAAGGGCTACTGCGACGGCATGAAAGTTCGCATCGGTCGTCTACAGAATCTGATTAGCAGTTCGTGCATCGAGCATCTTGACTTTATGAACCAAAGCGATCTGACCGACAACGAGAATGCGTTCTCGCAGATAAACCATGAGTACATTGGCTACCAATCGCTAACAGATGTGCCCAAAGCTCTGACATATGTGGAGGAAAAGATTTCTGTTGCGGTTAGTGCTTCTAGTTGTAACAATATTAAAGATTACCATTTTTCATTAACCCATTTATGCTGCAGCACTTCGACACCAAACCCACGCCCGACATAATCAACGCACTACGTAGCACGGATTCCATTTACTGCTTGTGCCAATTGTGGGGTATTATTCTCAACCGCGAGGGACCTCATTTTGAGGTAAACGGTCTGAACGTAAACACGGCCTTGACGCAGCTGTACCACCGCGCAGGTTCCTTGCGCTACTGGCGTGCCGTGCGATACTGCTCTTCGCTTCTTCACCATATTGTGGACTCCATTAGTCCATTCATTACCACTGTGTTGGTGAATGGCAAGGAACTGACAGTGGGCATCATTGGCCAAAAGGAGACGGTATTCGACAAGCCCATGACGCCGGCGGAGATTCAAAATGTCATGTACACGAGTGTCCAACCCTACGACGTCATCCAGGCAGTGTTGCAGCAGGAAGTTGTTCTGTATTGTGGCCGTTTAATAGCCACCAATCCATCCATGTTCCGTGGTATACTAAAAATTCGTATTGGTTGGGTGCTGGAGGCTATGCGAATCTATTTGCAAATCTCAGGACAACAGAGTATTGATGTGGACAACCTTTCGCCCTTCCAAGTCCGCATACTTCTTCAGAAAGTTTTAACTGTTAGCGAATGGGCTGTTGAAGAAAAGTAAGTATTCAAATTTTATGTTTTTTTTATGTTCTCAAGGCAACATTTAAATATATTTGTATTTATTAGGCTTACTACTCTACAACGTCGTCAACTGGAGGGCTGCTTGTGCCGTGTTCCAAAACATTTTTATAACAAAATCTGGGAAATCCTTCAGCGAACCCCTCAAGGCATCCTCACCCAGGGACATCATTTGCCAGCCACGCCCACACTAACCAATATGAGCCGCGGCGAGTTGACCTTTAATCTACTGGTCGAGGAAACTCTGATTTGCATTGACCGCCCGGAAAGGCGTCAGATAACCGTGGAGCTTCTGTGCATTGTGGCCACCATTCTTAATCGGTAAAAAGACACCCAATTAATCGAGATATTTGAGATTGATTACCTTTTGTTGCAGTAATCCCGAGCTGCACTTTAAACAAGCTCTCGACTTGGACGGCATCTTGGCGGAAGCGTTTGCCATGTACTGCAAGGACAACAACATACAGCATCAACCAAAACCGGAGCATGAGCAAACCAAAAATGAGGATCTCAAAGCTTTCTATTCGTTGCCATATTCCGAGACTACGGGCTATTTGGCTCGTGCCGCAGTCAACAAGGTTTTGCAGGGTGGCATCTTCTCCACCAATGAAGAGGATGTTCAGCTCGATGGCGATCGTTTGCACGACGACAACTGCAAGGTATCCTAAGCAGAGAAGCGCCGGATCTAGATTATGTATATAGCACAGTTTGACATATCTTTGTTGCACTGACCCACCATTAGCTCGAATGTTGTAGCTATTTTATTCTGTTATTCTTATTTAACTTGTCTCTCTCTGTGTCCCTCGCCGTTCGCCTAGTTCTTAATTAAATGTTATGTATATTTTGTTGCAATAATCGAAGGTGTTACATGGCCGAGTGTTTGATTAGTTAATAGGTCAATAACACTGGGGGTGGAAACCCGAGCAACTGAGCCCTAACCTCGCTTAAGGCAAGCCGTATTGATTTTCGCCTCCACTTATGTCACCTACCTTGGCTATAAAAGCTCTTGACCAATTCCTCACTCGGTTTACTTGACTAGCAGTCGTCGCAATTGAACACCGCACCATGCGCGCTCCAGAGTGGATGAGCAATGAAATGGCGCGCCTCACATCAAGGCTCGAACGCTACAAGCCAACGGGCAGTGGATATAACCGCATCCAGTCGATCCGACTGTCCAAAAGCGTTACCCAAATGCTCAACAATCCTATGCCTCCGGCACCAGCCGCTGCCACCGCCAGATCGCAGCCGGAGAGCGCCTTCACAACGCCGCGACGGCGAGGTGTCCTAAGTCGCAGTCAATCGGAATGGGAGGAGGTGTATCCTGCCGTCAAGTTCATTCGCCAAGGGAGCAGCGAGAGTGACATGAGTGAGGATAACGAACTGCGGTTCACCCACTATAGAAATTGTGCCACGCGTATTCCCTGAGTGGATATACCATCTTTAATAATAATAAATAATCTTTAAATTTGTATCTGAATTAAGTAAAAACAATAAAATAGTCTAAAAACAATATATGTAGTTTTTAATGGCACAATTCTTTTAAGATCGAATTCTTTATTGTTCATAAATTATTTTGCGACCAAAAACCATAAAAAAGATTGGCAAACTTTAACATTACTTTACTTTTTGATATAAGGAACTCAATATGACAACTCACATATGAAATAACATACATTTTTATGATTTTCTGAAATTTGTGAAAAGCCATTTTTTAAAACTACAATGTGATAAAATTGAAACACAATTAGACATTTCATATTTATTACAATCAATTTTATTTCTTTATTTTAATTTGCAAGTATTCCAGTTGATAAGCTAGTTTTGGAAATTAGTCGCTAAAAAAATACATACCTATTACATTTACGTTTTAGATTAAACGTTTCTTAGTATAAATATTTTTACATTTATCATTTTAGATTCGTTTTGCTATATAAAAAAAGAACATACCGAGCTAATTGGCGTTTACTAATTTTAAGAGATTGCAAAAGGGAGAAATTTCCATTCGAAGCCAACGCACTATATCATTTAATTTTGATATGAATTGCCTAGAAAAGAGTCGTTTAAGCAAATGATATTTGCATTCAATACAAAAATATGTCAAGTGATATGCCTAAAACTAAAGTCAACGCTCTATATATGCAATATGTATCGATTTAGTTATTTAGTAAACAGTAAACGTAATATCTTTAATCAGTTGTAAAGGGCACAATTAGGCAAACAGCATAGAAATGTATGCGAAAGCAATGGGTAATTTTACATGATACTCTTTTGTATAAATATAAAACATTTATTATTTAATCGCTAATTTTACTTAATAACTCGGATGCTTTAGATTAGTTATTATAATTACGGTTTCTGTAAAATGCTAAATTCCCTGAATATGAGTTTTCATCATTATTATTAGTATTTCCGCGCTTTATCTTCAATTTTTACACTTATTTAGCAGTAAGTTAAATAAATTATTTCCTTGATTAGGCAATTATAATTCACTATTATTTTCAATTGTTTGAATTAACAAACATCAACACTTTTAGCTTACTTACTAAATACACAGTTATACACATGGGCAGTACTTTTGACAAAAAATCGATCGACTGTTATAAATGGGTGATGCGTACATTTGAGTTTTGATTTGAGTTCTCTTTCTCCTTATAAAACTTTTAAAAAATACTATGAAACCTACGATAACGCAATACGTACTAAATACGTAAACAAACCCTACTTTAGTTAAGCGATTGGATTAGGCCTATGTTATTGCGGTTGCTGTGGCTGCAGCTGCTCGGGCCGGCGTACGCTCATTCGACTGGGAATCGAGTCGGTGTCGCCGTCATCGTCCACGTACTCCTCCTTGGGACGGGTCCACTTGATGAGCGTTTCGGGCGATCGGTATAGGAAGAGTAATTTGGCAAACAGGTCTTCTTCCAGAGCGAATTCCAACGCCTCCCGTACCTTGGAACCGAAAAGAGGTTATCGAGGGCTCGTTGCAAATATAAAACCATGAAGTTTTGATTTACCAGATAAATGTCCAGACAGAGCTGCAGCACTCTATCAACGTAAGGCAGATCTTCAAACATTATCTTTCGGTTTTGGCCGCCAATAAAGGACTTCATGAAGCGCGAGGCCAATAACACAAAGGTGGTGTACAAGCCAATGATGCTACAGGAGTACATATTAAAGTGTGAGCATGTATTGTTGGGATTCATTTGCCCTGTCACTTACCCTCCCGCTGTGAGGAAGCTGAACGTAGAAGGGAACTTTTTATCGTTGAACGTGTACATCACAATTCCTGAAGTGCAGTTGCTGTATGCAAACTTCGACAGAGTTTCGTTGTAGAAGGTATCGTTGCAGTAGTCCCGAATCTCCCACCACAAGCCATTGGTCTCGTTGTCGCGATGCATTTTGATAACCAACGGTCGGTAGTCGTAGTGTTTTGGGCTCAGCACACTTACCACCGCCGCGTCGCCTGAATTGAGCACCTTGATAAACTTGGGTATCATACCGGGTATGACCACCACCTCCTCGACTTCGGGAGTGGTACCATTTGTTGTGGCATTGCTGTGAATTGGCTCCACGTCGTGGGTTTCGCTTAGCATGTGAATGAGTGCTGCTCGTCCTTCAAAGGACTCGTCCAGAGTTATGGCATGTTCGTCGCCCACATTTTCCTTTAGTCCCTTGGCAGGAGCCTGCCGGGTAAGTGAATAAGAGAAGCGGGCCTTCAACGTGTGATCTAAAATAATAAGAAATAGGTTCATTAATGACACTGAGTATGAGCCGACCAAATAATATGAAAATATCTTACTGTTTCTTAAATCATTCAGTAGTCTCTGCCTATCCGGCGGTGCTATGTTCCACAGAGATGGTGAGTTCCCAGCAAGTCGAACCGCAGCTACATCCGCCGCATCATAACCAGCAATAAACGTCAAAGCCTGTTTCTCCTTTATGTATGCATTAGTCATCTGAGAATACATCTCGGGATTGATCTCGAAGATGCTGTCGTAGTTGTTCGTAGTGTAGATGGGATCATAGGGTCCGATTCGTATTGATAGCGACACATGGAAGGGCACATTCGGGGTGCCCACCGCGTTGCCAAGGGCAAACAAACACAGTGGTCCCCAAATGCAAATCACTATCAGCAGGACGACGGTGCCACCCATTAAAAGCTTGGAAAGTGAGGCCTTCTTCTGAGCTCTCATGGCCGGAAAATCTGTCTCTGACTGACGGGTGCACCGGATAAGATATATATTCGAGAAAATGTCCTCCATCTTAAGCCAGTCAAAAATGGTCATTGTGCTGTCAATGCACACCCAGTCCAATATAGTTCGCAGCTCGTACAGGAATGGAATCTGCATGTACACCTTAAAGGCAATCATATTGACCATCGAGAATCCCTTGGTGAAGAAATTGCCTAGAATGCGCTTGGGGTAGCCGGATTTGATTTGATAGGAGCTGAGCAGCATGTAAAAGCACTTTATCACATAGAAAATTATTGGAGGTGCGAGGGAGTTGAAAGTGCGCTCCGTAACTGCAGGCACAACAAAGAACATCCAGATGTGTATTCCGATTACCGAGAAGAAGTGGAAGATGATCTTGTTCACCAGGGCTTTGCGCAGATACAAGGCTCGATCAATGACGATGAGCAGGAACTGAACCAGTAACATAATCAGGAATGGTATGGGCACTTTGTTCTCCGCGAGATATGTCTGCACACCTTCATCACTTTCCGTTTGCTGAGTCTAAAGGCAGAGAATAGAATGGTGATGATCCCAAAAGCTGTAAAAATCATTTAAATCGCACTCACTCCAAATGCAGTGAAGCCGAAAAGAAGCACAAAGAAGTTCACAAAATCGCAGAGGAACATCAGAGCATAAACATCTGTGGCTAGACGGGATTTGTGTACCAAACTAAAGAAAAATTTGTATAGTGATGAGGTGTACTTGGTGCGCCTGAAATAAAATCGATTATTTTATTAAGGGTTTTTATCTTTGCCAGTCTGCCTTCACTTACTCTAACTGATTGATGCCAGTCTTGCTGAATTCTGGCGATCCTGGTAAGGAGGCCTGGCTCACTTGGAGACTCAGCTTCTGAGCGGCATCATCGTTTAGCTGGCGGGAATCCGGCTGGGATAAATTGTCGCTATCGTCGCGTTCATCGCTAAAATAAAAGCAAGGGTAAAATAAAGCAGTCTGTCCTTGGAGATAATCTGTAACTCACATGCTAGCGGTGGGCTTGCTGAACTGGTTGTCCGTGTCCTTGTAGCCCGACTTCCACAGGCCTTGTGACTTAAGCAGATATCGATGCAGGAATAGAACCAGCAACAGGATCAGGTCGTAAATCGCATAGTGGGCCTTGTTTTCCACGCCGAAAATTTTTGCAGGTGTCAACGGCTGATTGGGCAGTTGGTGGTAATTGGACCAGATCAGTTTAAACTGGAAGATGCACTTGATCAGCACGATGGCCTGGGTGTAGGCAATCAATGTGACCCAGAACGTCTTGGTGGGACGCGGCAGAGACAATGTGCCCCACAAGAAGACCATGATGGGCAGCGGCAGCGAAATGAGACTGGCATTGACCACCTAGAAATGGAAATGGAAAATGAAATCAAACAGAACTGCAGGGAATGTGAATCCAATCTATACCTGGTTGATGAACACCACAATGTAGCAGATGAGATCCGTGTTGGCCAACAAGGCGTACCACGAGGAGATCAGCACCTCGACAATGATGTGATGATCTCTCTGGGCAAAGTTCTCCTCCTCCAGATTGAATTCGCCCGCGCTGGAAGATCGTCAGAACCATATTAGATACATGGATGAAAAACCCTATGCATTCGTGGAAATTATCAACTTCACATGCTGGGTGCCGTTTCGCTTTGAAATGTGTGCGCTGCATGCTCCACAGTCTACATGCGAGTGCATCGTGTGGAACTCGGGTGGAACACAAGAATTGTTATAAACTAGGATAAATCGAAGCCAGACAACGGTACATACTAGCAAAGAACGCATAGAGATAGGTTTAAATCATAGCAGCGAATGCAACTTAGTGGAGAGGCGGAGATACGGATTCAAATACAGAAACAGATGCAGTTACAGTTACCAAAAGATACAGAGGGAAGAGATAGATTTTATAAAAGTCATGGGTCTGGGCGATGATCATGGTCATGAGGATGGGCATGAGCTTAAAAGATAGATATGAAGATATAGAGTTGGGTGGGTCGATTTACACTGCACTGGTTGGCTGGACTTCATGTGTGGTACATGTTATTTAACCGGCAATGATTAGTTATGCATTTGGAAAAAACGGTAATACATTTATATTTAAAGGTTTTCTTAAGTCCAGCAGATTTTAATTCAAATATTTTTTAAATTTAACTTTTTTCACAAATGTTGTTATTATGTTATTATATTTATATTAAAATAGTTCCATTTAAAAAAAGGTGCAAAAGCTTATAAACCCTGGGCTTCAGTTTTCGTAAGATCGACCCGCCTGTGAAGAAAGAGTTGTAGAGCGTTACGAGCACAAACCGAAAGACACCAACACATGAATAGGCACATCAATAGGCTAGGGGATAGTGGGCTCTACGCATAGTTAGTGGGCGGGACCTGTACCTGTCCACCTGCTCGTAGGACCAGTGTTTGCTCAAGGATCCCGAGCCACCGCCGCTGTGGTGATTATGGTAATAGTGTGCACCGCGCTCGACAGAGGGCGCTTTAATTCGAATCTCGGGCAGGCCGCAATCCGATTTTCGACTGAGCATCGTGCTATATATACGAGTTATACATATTGATACAGCGCATGGAAGGGGCAACAGAAATGGAATGGGGTGAAATGGAAAATAGGTGTCACAATGCAGTTTAGATGAGGTTTACAAATATATATATAGAGAGTTGCTCAAGTAATCGGAGATCTTAGTAGAGTCTTAGAGAGCAGCCACTTAGATGTGTTGTTAGTTGGTTTTTACTGATCTCGGTTTAGGTATAGATTGGTAGTATGGTTCGGTCTACTTACCCTTTTGCTGGCGGCGATGAATTGATTGATTGTTTTCTAACAAAACAAAAATTGATTCGGATGATCGAAATGCGCGCAGAAAAATGTAAAATGTAAGAAAAATAAATTAGTAAGGATCTGTTTTTGTTCATTCTGGAAATGTTGTCTGACATATACATAATCACATGGAACTAATTTCTATTCTAATGAAATGAGGGTAAATGCATTATTTTTTAATTTTAAAAAGATCTTGTAAGAACATGTGAAACAAATAGTGCGGCGCAGATTGATTGAAGTATTTGGCAACTTAATTTTGTCTGTGTTTGAGTCGTATTGTTAGGCGAACATTGCTAAAAAAAATCTCTATTTCAATTGAAAAATCCAATTTTGGAACTGGTCCAGTAGAATAGAAGATAAGATCACATTTCTTGGAATTGCCGCATTCAAAAGAACGGTTTTCTTGTGGTTTTGGGTTACCTAGGGTCGACTCCATCAACGGTATCTACAGGCAGTTCGATGATTTCTTCGGCAGCGCGAATGTGCTGATGCTGTTGCTGCGGTGTACTGGTTGTAGTTGGTTGCAGTGGTTCTGGTGGTGATAGCGGTGTGGTTGTCGTGTTCGTGTTCAGTGTGGTGCTGGTGGGGTCTGAGTGCTCGGTGACATTCGGTGGTGCGATCACCACCCGCCGCGGGGTGGATGAGGAGGCGGGCGGGTCACTTTCATCGCTTCAGCAGCAGCAACAGCAGCATCGATCGATCGGGTATCAGTATCAACAACAACATGGTGGCACAAATGATGGAGGTGAGGTGGTGAAACATTTTGGCAGGTGTGTTGTTGGTTTCGATAGTAGTAGTATGTTGTGGAAGCAGGTACAGAGTTTCAAACACACGGAACACAAAAGTAAAACGGATATGCAAATAAAAAGAAGAAAAGGAATACCAAATAAATATTGAATAAAAACCGAACACAACGCTTAACAAACTTAAATACAAATACAAATACAAATTAATTGAACGCTTCGTAACGCGACCAGAACACGCTACTCTACGACGTTCGGGTTTCCAGTTTCCAAAAATCAAAACTTAATTCAAGACTTAACGCAAGCGGCGCACACTGGAGCTGTATTCCAGCATCGCTTTCTAAATACCTCTCGAGATTGGACTTGAGGAAGTGGAACATGGCAGCGGCAGTGGACAGACCCAGACGATTCAGCGAACTCGACTCCTGTAAAAGAAAGCAACAGCAGCATTTTAGTTAGCAGTACCATAGATGCATAGATTGGACACCCACCTTCAAGGTCTTCTTTTCGCCGGCCAGGATGCGGTTTACAAAGCGATAGTTGCGCGAGAAGCGGTTCAGTCTTATGGTCAGCGTGACCAAGAAGCCCTCGAGCAGTCTGATGATGGGATTTGTATCAAAGTCCTCATCCGAGTCCTTGGCCGTCACCTCTCCGCTGTCCACTTCCATTTTTGACTTGCTATCGGAGGTCTCCTTGGAGGTTTGCTCGCGTCCCAGGCCAGTCGAAGGTGGTGGAATCACGGGCAGATCACCCACATCCCTAGTGGGCGCTGGACTAGCCGAACTGGAAGCCGCCGCCGCATCACGTTCCTTGGAAATACCCTTGCTGGTGGAGGGGAAATCGCCAGTGGGTGCGTCCTTCGACTTCTGTGGGTTCAAATAAATATAGCGAGTTAGACCACTGGCTGGAAATAGCTGTAAGAAAGACATTTACACGATGTTAACGAAAAACCAAGCTTATACAATATGCAGATACAATAATTCGTTTGTAGTTTTGTATGTTTTTGTACAGTATTTTGAGGTGAGTGCGCCCAACTGCTGGTCGGCAGGTTGATATGGCGGGCGCAGTTGAAAAACTTGAGCTCGTGAGCAAAATATGTGAAATCAACGGGAGGTGCGCCAATTAAAGACAAGATATGCAGGTAGCTCTGCTCCATAGACTCACAACCTCGAGCAGCGTCTGGCTGCGACGACCAAAGTCGAGCGGTTCGGACAGCGTCGAGGTGCGCATGCCCAGGTCGCATTCAATGGTATCGTCGTCCTCATCGTCGTCGCTGGTCAGGCCGAGATCGGGGCCAATCTTCTCCTTCTCGTCGTCCAACTTCAGGACAATGCGAGAACCCGGCTCTGAGGCGTAGGAACGCTCACGCATGTAGAAGTGGCGACGGTACTCGGCATCATTCAGATCCTTCCACACCTTCGATCACAAGTCGGGGCAATATTTGGATTTTGTTTTGGTTTTTTTGGGGGAATTTACAAGAATTTAAGTACGGTTCAAAGTCATGCGGGCAAAGATGGCATGCAGCATGGCCTAACTCAGAGGAAATCCCAACAGGAACTAAGTGGAAACTCACATCGTAGAGGGTCTTGCGGCGCTGCATCTTCATCTCGCTCTCGGTGATGTTCTCCTCCTCGAGGAAGTCGATCTCGTCGTGTATCAAGTCCAGCTCAAACTTATCGTCCATCTCCTCGAACATATAGTAGTCACCAGCACGGGTAGCTGCAGGGAACATCGGAAAGAACATTATCACACACGGCTCCAACGAAGTGTAGCAGTTATAGTGTTTAACGACATTCAGATAGGTACGAGCATTAGAAATAGTTGCTAGGAGTAGGCTTTTGTTGTTGCATTCAATTTACAGAGCAGCACACAGAATTTCATGCAGTTAATCGGGAAGAGATTATATATCGGGATACGAGTATATGTATATACATGGCATGGGGCAGCTTAGATAGCGGGCGGTAATATCGAACAAATAAGTCACAACAAACTAAAACTTTACCATGTGGATGTAATTTAATTTCCTTCCTTCTGCGTACTGTTGGTGCAGGAAGTGGATAACCGTGTTCTACAAAATAATCAAATACAAAACAATCAAAAATAAAATGTTGAAAAACGAACAGAATTTAGACATTTGGCTTTAATCGAAATGAAGATGGAATTAGAACATAATCTAACAACGGCTAGCCGATGCCTGAAATGTTGTAAATTTCCCATTTCTGAACCGATGCGAAGGCATTCAATATGCTTATAGACAGTGGAAATATAAACCCAGATTCCATATCCGTTTTCAGGGAAATAAAATTAAGTTCAGAAAAAGTATTATAAAAAGCTTTAAGGAAAATTTGGAAAGTTTGATAGATTGTCCATGCAGATCAAAAATCTTAATTTACAACATAAGTAAACCCCCTGAAGCTTTAAAAATCGATTCTAGCAATCACATTTAGATCGATGAAGAGATTTATAATACACTTGTAGTAGCGCTCAGCAGTTCTGATTGCGCACTTAACCAAGAACCCAAACAGAAGTAATTGGGAGCTAGGTAAATCTAGATCAGTGTTATTTACAGGCCAGACTCATGGAGGCAGTTTCTTGGGGTCTGCTACACAGGACCCCAATCGGTTTTATTAGAGATTGAAGATCACGCACATGGAGCAAATGGTTTTTTGTTTTTTGTACAGAGTTTCGTTAAAGTTTAGCAAAATTATCATTATAATCTGATAGTAAGGATTCATCCAATACATGGTCCATGCAGCAGAGCAGGCTCGTAGAAGGCGCACATCAGCGACTCCATATAGGAGGTCGTACCCACGGGTCCCCAGCTATGCGGTCTTTGTGCGGATCGCAGGGCGGTCTCGTCCCGAGTTCCGGATAAGTTGCTGGACAGCCGCTTGCGCTGCGATTGCGACTGCGACTGGCTGGCTTCGTCCAAGGAGTAACTGGCATTCCCCATGCTCTGGTGTCGGCGGTGGAGCGACTTGTGCCGCATGGTTACCAGCTCTTCCTTATCCGCCGACTGTTTGGTAAGTGGGAGAAATGAGTGACCGATTTTTTCTCCGCGGATGCAAACCGAACACTTGCAAGCCTTACCCCTTATAAATATTTATGAAGTTATTCTTCTAGATTTTCAATTTCTAAATCATCTTTTAATTAAACTAAATAACACAATTGAACGGTTTGCATCCGACACTCTTCACATTTTACCATTTGCTTTTTCATGGGAGATCGTTTGATAGAAACAGTTTCGTTCCAGGAAACAGCGGCATTGGTTGACGACTGGCGGCGATGTTCTCGGCGAAGATTCGGAGTCAGATTGGAGGACAGCACGGAACTGGCCGCACTGGAAGCCATGGCTGTGGCATAGGCAGCCAACGGAGGAGCCAGGCTCTGCATCCCAACAGGAGCACTACGCTCAGAAGGAGCCAATCCCAAAGAGATCCTCTTCGGTTCCAAAAATCCCTCAGTCAGGAGAGTAGACAAGGCATCTGTACTTGGCGTTGTTGGCTCTGGGCTTTTGAAAACACCTTCCTTCGACTGCGAGTCCTTAGAAGTGGCCAAGGACTCCAAGAGCTTCTTAGGCATTTCTACAGTTGTCTCCTCTTCACTGAGCGACTGCACATCCAAATAATCCGTAATCTCCTCACATGGCATCACATTGATTTCCGGTTCAATAATCACGGCAGCGTCTGCGCTGTCCACGCTTTCCATGCTGCCTCCACTGCTGGAGAGGATCGAGGCCCTTGCTGGCGATGAAGTGGCTGAGGTGGCGGAGCTACGATCATCTGGGGTCAGATAACCAGAGCCCTGACAAGAGGTGACGCTGCTATTGTGGGCCAAAGGTGCCACATCGGACATGGCGTGCTCTGAGGGCGTGCGTCGCCCTTTAGGAATCCAAAGATTAATTGAAGACACACACGCGACAATTTCCAACGATCAAAATACAAATGCGGAAATTGCAAAAAAACGCGACGAGAAGTTCGAGCTCCAAAAAATTACAGAAAGGGGGGAAAAATCCCTGGATGTGAATGTGTAAGCACTTACCATCGAAGTGGGTTTGTTTGTCCAAGGGTCGAAGCATCTTCTGCTGCGTGGCTCGGATGCGCTCCATCTTTCGCTTGATCTTATGTAGCACCTGCTTTTCATGGTCGTGACGATGGGCAATCTGCTTGTGCCGTAGGCTCTCAATGATGTCGGCTCCTCTGTGACGGACATTTTTCAATTAATTGATAAGTTTACAATATGGGGCCTTGTAATAAACCCACCTGGAGGCCAGGATGTTATTCGCCTTTGTGTCCGTTATGATGTGACAGAAGTAGTGCGACTTGAAGATGCGCAGCTGGAAGATGATGAAGGCGAAGCAAATTGTGTCCCACAGGAGGACCACCTGGTGGGTGATCTTAGGACATTCGCCTGGCTTAAGCGCCAATTCCGCCTCCTCGGGCAGCATTATTTGCTCTGTGAGCACATTGCTCGTACAGGTGATGCCCAGCATGTGCACCAGCCAGCAGCAGTCCTTCGTCAGTTGTGTCATGAACAAACAGCCAGCCATCTGGAAGGTCGTCTTGATCAGTATGTTGGCCACATTGAATGCCAGCAGCCACTTCCAGCGAAAGATGATGGTGTGTATTGGACGCAGATAGAAATCGGATCCCTGCCACAGAAAGATAAACGCTCCGATCAGATAACCCAGGGCCAGCAGATCCGCAATATTGGTGCCGGCCAGGAAAACCACTGCTAAAGTGAACCAGTAAAAGCCGCACAGCACGCCGTTCTTCAGGATGTCCGAGTAGTTCCGTATGTAAGAGCAAAAGTCATGGGTGGGATTGTCGAAGGGAACGCGACCTAGCTGAGCAATATCCGCGATCACACTGCGGTTGCTGCCACCAGGATAATCGTCGCTACTGGCATAACGCTGTTCGATGCAGAAGATACTCTTCTGTCGGTTCAGAATAACCAAGACAATGAAGTCGAAGATCAGCTTGGGAACGTGGTTAAAGTGCAGGGCTCCTGGCAGCATTGTCCAGCGTTGTATGCCCTCACCGAAGGGGCCTTCATCCCAGGGATAAACTGCAAGACATTAAATGAAGTTAGCTAACATAATTTGAAGTGATTGTTTCATATCATACCCAGGCATGAGCTCGGCGGCAATCCTACCAGCACTATGTACTGTGTCAGTATGGAGATGGCAAAGAATGCCTGAAACACGCCCCATATTTTGGCGCACTGAGATCTCCTCAGAAGCAAGAGCACCACCAGCCACAGGGCATAGACAACGGCAACAATATCCTGGCGATATGTGATGGTGGACACCAGGGCGATGAGCGATATCTCGATGCCAAATTTATAGAAGCCGAAGTTGAGCAGATACTTGACCAGTCCCACCAGATCCTTCTCAGCATCAGCTCGAATAATATTGGGGAACAGCAGCTTGGTGGGTGGAGCATTCAGTGCTCCGATCTTAACGCGCATTTGAAGCTGCCGCAAAGTGATCACTGCGTGCATGGTCACAATTACCATGTAGATTATGTAGGTGCGCAACAGGCTCATCAGTCCACCCGTTACCTTGTCGGCCTTGGTGAGGCCAATCCACTCCGCATTGTTGGCAGTCCGGTTGTCAGACTGCGAAGTATAATCAAGATTAAATTATAATTACCCTCCTCTACGGACAACATTTACTTACGCAAACCACGTTGTGCTGCGAGTGACTTAAGTACTCGATCTGGTAGATCATCTTCGACAGAACTATGATGGTAACAATAAACGAGATGAGGCGGCTGATCACCACCTGGACGGCCTTGCGCGATGTGGCGCCCAGCACACAGAAACCCACAAAGATAATGTGCAGTACGCAGACTTCGCTGACGCTGCACACGAAGGCTGCAATATAGACAGCCTTCATGATGTGCAGCTCCAGGAAGCGCCAGAAAACATCCTTGAAGTTCTTGAAAATGTACTCCGACTTGTTCTTGATCTTTCGGAACGAAATGCGCACCAAGTCGCGCACAGATGTTTCGAAATCGGTGGTGGCTCCAGGAGCGGCCTCCGCCGATGGACCCTGGGATCTACGCAGTGAACCAGCGCTGCCACGTCGCTTTGAAGGCGCTGGTTCCAAGGCAGTTGTCTCCGTGGGTTTCTGCTGTGCCGATCCGCCAGCCAACGGCTGCTGTTGCAATGAGGCGATGAAGCGCTTGTGGAAATAATGCACTTGGATGACGGTCAGGATCACAATTATCGTCGGTGAGACCAAGTGAAGGAACAGATCCTTGGTTTGGTAGCGCTTAAGGCCGATGTCCTTTTGCCTGAAATATAATCATTTTGGTTAGATTGGTTGTCTTAACCTTGTGTATGGTGCCCGAGTTCCACAATTTTTAACTTACAAAGTCGCGGACACATTAAGATAGTCGCTCCAGTACTTGTCGAACTTGTCGAATTGATATGTGTAGATCAATATAAGTATGGACATGGCATAGAAGATCAGAAACAGCCAGAAGCCGTACATGATCTTAACCCACGCCTTGGACGACGATTGAAAGACTAGCAAGAAGAATAGGAACAGAGCCATGTAGCAGATGCGGAAGCCGGTCATGTTCTCGCCGGTGATGGCGCAAAGGAAGATAACTAGCACCAGTAGCCAGATCCACAGGCGCACCAGTAGATTCTTGATCACATCGCCGGCCTTCTTTAGGAACTTTGAGGTCTTCTTGCCATCGTTGATGAGGTAGCTGGAGCCAGCCGATCCCACAGTGATCTGCAGTGGGGCAATAATATCCGCCAAAGTGCTGTCCCTTCGGCGATCACGCTTCTCCTTGAAGAACTGCCGCGACGTCACCCAAAACATTAGCACAAAGGCTGTCTTCACGATCAGCGGCACACATGGCCGCATTTGGTTCTCGATGGGTCGTTCGAAGCCAATTTGTTGCAGGTTAATGCCCGCAGTCTGCAAATACTTCAATTAATTAAATTTAATTCGTAATGGAAGCGTCGCCTTCTTACGGGAACGCTCGTGGGCAGCTCTTCGTTGTTCAGATCCATGCCGTATATGTATTGCGCAATCAGAAGGGCCTCAGCATATAGGACTATGAAGGGACTGGACCGCATCATGGCCTTCCTCTGGTTAGGAATCATCCACAGCACGTTGGCCCACAGCAGCAGGACAAAAGTCAGCCAACTGTGATACACAATGGACCACGCCTGTCAAGAAAATCGGATTAGACATTCGAAACACTCTATACCTTATACTCTATAACTGAACTAAACTACACAAAGCTTAAATATTTGCGCAGGCTTACCATCATAAGAATGTTGGTGAATATATAGCTGTTCTGATATATGAATCCTCCCACGCTGACGAATCCATACGAAATTTGATCCAGTATGGACGTGGTGGTGTTCTCCTGCTCCGATCGCTGTTCCAACGAGTCCAGCTGGATGTCGTTGCCGCGCTGAGTGGCACTGGGCGCCACCGAGGATCCACTCTCCAGCGGCTGGGGAGTGCGCGCCTTGCGCGTGCTTTGGCGCACCAACTATGGATTCAGATACCGGCTTATTAGTTTAGAATTAGAAACTACGAGACGCACATAAAGGAGAGAGTTCAGCTTACTAAACAAGATATGTACATAGAGTTCTAAAGTTCTAGGGCACTACGGGTGTTGATGGCGATAGGTAACTATCCGGGTGAGAGTTGCAAACTATTTTGTATCGCTTTGGCGGTGCTCCATGGCCCAGAACACATACATACAGACACACTTGCGTAGTTAGTACTATGCTTAGTTTACATTATGGGTTAGAATACCCCTTGATTTGGGGGAACTACTACGGCGATTTATACTACAGATTGGTAAAGATGTTAGACGAGAACAGTTTTACATGGACAAATGGCAAACGTTAGAAAAGCTTAATCCAAATGATACATAGAGAGACAGAGGGAGAGATAGGCTAGAACTAGTCTAATGATTTGGGGTTAGGCTGGGAGAAGATACACGAGGTATTGGCGCAAAGTGGAGTTAGTTTACGTACAGGCGTCGTCTCAGTCGGTTCATTCAACGTTGCACGCTGATCACGGCGCAAAGAAACCTAAAGCGGAAGTAATAAAAGAGAGAGCATAAACAAAAATCAAAAGAAAAACAAACGTACTAAAGGAAAATGGCAGGAAAATCGCAAAACAATAAAGGTCAGCCTTCAGCAAAAGCGCACACAAATCGGATAAATTTCGGCAGAGTTTTGGTGTTAAACGTTAAGGCACAGACGAACATTCAGTTGGGTTTTAGTTGAGGTCACTAGTTGTGTTTAGTGTTTGACCTATTTCTATGCCTGCATCTAATTTGGTAACCGCATGTTTTGTAAGACAATATTGATTTTAAGTTTCAGTAAAGTATCAAAAACATATTTAAAGGATTGCAATGGTATCCGCCAAGGAATATCCAAATAACCAAATAAATATATGTATTTACTTTAAAGTTTATAAACCCTGAAGCGCGTTCGATAAGTAAGCAAATAAAAAAGTTCAAGGCGAGCTACATTTTCCAGCGAGTTTGTTAATGGATTATACTTTTCAGGTCATATCGGTAAGCCGGCTTATTGGGAGTTTTCTTTCCCCCTACTAGTAATCCTAAATCTATTCATTGTGCACCCGAAATCCCCAGAAATATTCAACAGTCACACACTGAATGGAGATCGAAACAGAAACCCTGGCCCAATCCACTCGCTCGCTTACACTCAAGCGCTGATTGCGGATTGCCGTGGAGGTGGTGGTGGTGGTCGTGGTGGTGGTGGTGATGGTGGCTCCACCTCCGCCAGGATTGGACCCATCCCGACGACCGCGCGATGTCTGCGAGGTGAGCAGCGATAGCTGGCGGTTGACCTTGTTGCCGGTGGTGTTGCTGATGCTGCTGCTATTGCAATCTAGTTGCTGCCCAAATGCGGTGGCGGGCTTGGGGTCCAGCTAAGGAGTTCGGTGTTCCGGTGTTCGTGGATTTGGGTGTTCAGGTGTTTAGAGGGGTGTGTTAGTGACAATTGGTTTTTTGTTAGGTGTTAGGAGTGTTTATTATGTTGTTGTTTAGGCGTGCAGAGATTTTTGTGTTAAAAGAATTGAAATTGAAGTGTTTTATCCGGATGCGTATGGCAGCATAAGAAGAGCAGAAATTGAGAGCAGATAAAACTATATCCCAGTGTTGTCCAGATGTTTAATAAGAATGAAAGCAACTTTTAAACTCAATTCTTAGACGTAAAATGAGTTTGAGAGGCATCAAGATCCAATCTAAACGTTTATCGTTCAATAAATAATGCATGTTTGTAATAATTCTACTTAAACTAGCTTTCACTCTTGTTAAATTATGCCTGTAGTTCGATAGCATGATCCGTGTTAGTTGCTCTAAAGCAGTCTAAACCAGAGTACGCTCTGTTCCGTCATATGAAGTCTTTTGGAATCAATTCCTCGCACTTGAAACTTACCCGTGGCTTAATTAGATGCTTGGTGGTCAGGGCCAGTGCGAAGTAGGCAAAAAACAACGCAAAGGGATTGAGGTACGAGTCCAGGGACAGCTTATTATTGTACAGAAAGACTCGTATATCCGGCGAGCAGTAGGATTCAATAAGCGGTTCCAGTCCAATCAAACTGGTGGGCAGAGAAAGATGAGAATCTAATGATTTCCCGGCACAGCAAACTCCACGCGCCTCCTCTCCGCTCCTACTTACCGGGCTGTCAGGGTGGTATGATTGAGGTGGCTCTGCATCCATGGCGTCTGGTAGGACACAATGGACAGGGAGTGCAGCACGAGCACGACCATCACGCAGCGCAGCAACAAGGCGAAGCCCCTGCAGAAAAGGTGCGAGAATACAAAGGGAAAAGTGAGAAGGGCGTCCGGAATGGATGGCGTTGATGGGACACGCACCGTTGCAGCGTCTGGCATGTTGCCCAGTAGGTGCCGGCCAGCAGGAAAATGAGAAAGTAAAATCCGCCAGGCACCGAGGGACGCAGCACGGCCGCAAAGAACAGCGTGGCCAGGCAGAACAGAGGAGCTGTCGATGGAAGCGAATCATTAAATTTGATTGGAAAACATTCGTTGGGGGTGCCCATGAATTCCGTGAGGGAACTAAAGTCTCAATGTATATAAAGAAAATGTTTATGCTAATTATTCTCATAGTGAACTTATTGTTATAATGTTTGTCAGAACATAACAACAAACTTTAACAGCCATGAAGTACACAACAGAAAATTCGGAAAATTCAAGAATACCCCGCAGTACTTTCTACTTACAGATCTTGACCAATCCCTCAAAGTGAATGTGCTGGCTGATCATGGACACTCGTTTCCGCAGCTGCTGCTGCTGTTGCTGCAGTGGCGTGGTGACCGTGGCCTGTTGCACGTCTCCTCCATTGGCATTGGCATCTGTGGCAGGAGGCTGAGAAGATGTCTGTGCGTTTTCCGCCTGGCCATCGGCCACATCGCCGTTCTCCAGTTGCTCGACGCCGGACGGCTGAGAGGCCACTCGCTTCACGGTGAGATACGATCCCAGGGAGGTGGCGAAGACCAGCACCTCTGGCACCAGCCATTCAATGATAGCAAATGGCCTAAGCAAATGAGATACAGAATTAATAAACGGGCACCACGTGATTGCCAACACACCCACTGTAGATCAATAAAGCTCACGAAGCCAATGTGTCGCAGCAGTCGCTCACTGAACGAGCAGTTGTAGACTGGCAGCGTGAGGCTGACCGCCAGAATCTGGAGCGTTATGTGGCCCAAGAGGACCAGCGTGCTCAGCGCCAGCAGGATGATGAAGAAGGCAGTCACAGATCCTTTGAAGTTGCGTCGCGTGGCCAGCGGGACAAAGGGCGACACGAAGAACATGAGAAGGTACACAAAGGATATGCCCACTGGTCGCATCAGGGCAGCTAAAGATTAAAGATATTTTATTACAAAATGTATCTTTAAAAGTGAAGCGGTTCACTGGAAATCCATATACTCACCGAGTACCAGGACCGCTGGCACCACGATGCGCTGGAGCACCATGCACGCATAACTGAAGACCATTTTGATGGGTGCTTCCGGCGCCGTTCTCCTCCAGATGCGTCTCCGGACTCAGACTTCGACTCCAACCCAGTAGCATTCATAAAAGCCTCAGCTTCGAGTGCAATTTGTTGCCACAAGCGGCGCAGAGCAGCTTAAAGATGAAGAGAACAAAAAATTGGAATTGAGTTGCAGTCCAAGGAACCCCGCAATGCCTGTTGCTACCACTTTAAGACTTAAAGATTAATAGCCCTTAATTAAGCGGACCCCAAGAAGGCCAAAATATTTCACGGATATAAACTTTGGCACACTTTTAATTAACACTGCGAAGAAAGCAAATAAAATCCAGCCAAAGCAGAGAAGAAGGCGTGGCACTCGGTAGTCGCACGCTATCCTGAATTAGGTGGGGTTAGTTTCAATTTTCCGCTTCCGCTTTTCACAATTTCCAGTTTCAAAAAGAACGAGGAGTGGCCATGCAGCTCAAGCTTCAAGGAGTAAGGACTAGGAGTGGGGGCCATCCCTATATAGGTTGTGTAATTGACATTCAATGGCACATAATGTGGCATTTATTCGACTACGATTTAAACTAATGGTGCTGAAACTGTCGGGTCAACGAAAGAAAACCATACAGAATGCTAAGGATAATGGCGAAGAAGCATATCAAATCTCTGAAGAGGCTATTAAATTCATTTTTGAACGAAGTTAATTGCGAGAGGTTTTGCAAGAAGAACTGGACAATGTTGGAATTCCAATAAATATAAATTTAATAATATAATTTAATAAATTGAAATAAATACATAGTTTGTGCAAAGTTCCAACCACTTTTTTGGTTTTGGTTATCTTAAATATTCGTAAAAGAACGTATATACTGTTTTTTTTCTAATATTTCTTCTGTTAATTTTTCCAAGACGACATATATATTATTTAGAACTTATTCCGAAGAGCTTTATCAGTTGTTTCATTAAATTCGTTTCTTTGGCTAATTTACAGAACCGCTCAAGTCACATATAAAAGAGAAAAACGGCATGAATTCCTGACCTAATGCCTCACATGCACAGTGAAACTACAAATGCAGAAAACAACGCAAAAAAGAACAAGCAAAAAAGCAAAACAAAACTGCTAATTTCAGTGGACGGCGAAAAAAGATCAACAGCCATGACGTAATTTGGCATGTTCAAAACTTTTAATTCCACACTTTTGGCTGGGTTAATAAGAACAACAAGGGGGCAAACAAAGAAAGCAACAAAGAGTGCGAAAAGGGGGGAAAAGAGACGCCCCACGCCCACGCCTCCAACGCAAATACATATATCCGAACATCCGACATAATGTCAGTTAATAAGAGGGGCAGAAAATTCGAAAAGCGAGCGTCTGGCAGTTGAGCCACCGAGCCGACAAACCTCAAGTGGTGCCACACCTAACCCCACAACCTCCCACGGCCACCCACGCCCACCCACTTCCCAGCACCCCCTTCCCGCCGCCCTTGGGCAAACAAACAGATTCAGCTAGACGGCAAAAAAGAATGATAGAACCACAACAACGAGCCGGTTTGCCCCCAAGTGGCGATAAAAAGCAGTGGTAGGCATATGAAAAACAAAAAAAGCACTCTACTGTTTTAACAAAGTAAATGCTGCCTGTTGGGGATTGGGGATTAAGGGGAGGCGGCAGACCGGGGTTTCTGTGTCTGAGCAGATGTCTAATGGCACAATAATGCTGATGGAAATGCGACTGTCTATATGGATGTTTAATACACAATCCCGGCAGAAAAAGATACAAGGGAGATAGTTTTGGGGAAAAGCGTGCTATTACAGTTGATGTAAATACAACTTCGTAGCTACACAATGCAGCTTATCAAGAACTTCGATGATAAACGCTAAAGATCCCGCGTTTTCCTTTAATTTGTGCGCTATTTTCGAGGACCATATGGGGGTTTTCAATTTCGGTCGTTACATAAACGGAGTAAGCTCATAATCGGCTCTGTTTTGCACTTTCAGGCGCGGAAAGAGAAGGGTTCGTCTCCATCGTTCCATCAAAATCGAATGGGACACGTGTTGCTTCTATGCTTGGGGCTTGATTATGGGCCTGCAGGCATTCCAAAGCACACACCCCCTTTTTGGGGAACCCGAAAGGGGCCTCCCGCCCGCAATGACAATGAATATGAAATGCCAGGAGATCTGGGTTTAACCCGCGTGCTATTCGCAACTAATTCATGTGCCATGCACGCATCGCCGATTGCTGAGCTGCTGCTGCCGTTTGTGATTATAATATAAGCATTATAATGTGTATAATACTCAGATACTCATATACCCAGATATCTATGTGCCAATCGAGGGACCAGCTGCTGTTGTCTGTCCGCAATCATGGGGGCGCCTCCTCCTTCGGCCTGCTGGCTGCTTTCGTTTTCGTTTTCTGTTACAGTTTCGATTCGAGTTCCATTTCCATTCCGATCGAATGTTTATTGTCTTTCAATTCTAAACATAAGTAGCATTCCCATGTGTGCTTTCATTGGGTTAACTTGGCACACATATTTGCAGCGGACACATCAATGTCGCTGTCGGTATTGAGATTCCCAGTGTTGCCCTTGTTTGATATGCTCAATGTAGATGAAATGCATGTTTTGGCACTTGAAAACAAACATTAACATTTGTTTTGGACGAAACGCAGGCAGCTGGTTGCAAAATGTCCCAGAGTGTGGGCCATGTGGCGTATACGTGATTTTGAAGTATTTCTTCTGAACAATCATTGTTTCAAGTACAAATGACCGATAACTTTGCAATCATATATTCAGAATCTCTATCTAGTCTTCGCCCAAATGGAACCTTTTCATATCCCTGGCACAACACCCATTTCAACTCTCTCGAACTTTCTGAATAACCAAGACGAAGCGCTTTATCTCAAGCGGCTTACATGAATAACGAAATTGAGCTGCAAGGGAAGAACTCAATTGCCAGACTGCCATCATCAGACCGACCTTCATGCTCGTCTTGGAGCCCCTGAACCCCCTGGCATTCATTAGAGCAGCTTCATAGCCAAGTCCCCCAGTCACTTGAACTTTGTCTGGGCGGCAACTCTTGCAATAATATTTGCAATTCTATTTTCCCAAGTGCACTGGCGAAACGGAAAAGTCGGAAAAGCGTTGACAAAGTCAACTAATCTCTGTCCGGTTGGTCTGTATTTCTTGCCTCCCTTGCCGCGTGTCTGTGGCCCATTAATTTACCATTAATTACGAATGTCCAGCGAGTGGCCTGAGCTTTTCTTTTTTCTGCCCACTTTCAACTTGCTCTATTTTTAGTGTCGGCTTTTCTGTGGAGGCTTAGTCCTTTTTTTAACGTCGTAATCCAAGAATTATTGCGCTGGGCTGGATACCTCTGCCAGTTTTCCTACTACTTCTAGCTGCAGTAGTTGTCACACTACTTTTGATTCTGACTCCTGTTTTAGAACGTTGATGACGTCACCTTCTGTGGAAATTGACAATGTCACTACTCCGCGAATTGTTAACCCCTTGTTGCCACGTGGACTCGGGAGCTTAAAAAAGTAACTATCCGAGAATCAAAGCATAATTACTGAATAACACGCAATGCTGATTCCGAAAAGTGGGTGTAGCGAAAATAATGAAAAACTTAATTTGACATTCTTGGTGTGCGTTTGAAAAGCAAGCTTGCCCATAAAAGAGGAAAACTTCGCATGCCATTTTATTTTGTAATAAGATGAAAATAAAGAAATGAGCGGAAAACGCTTTTATTTGCTGAAAAGTTCTGTATGAAGTTGTCGAGTCCTTCTAAAGCGAAAAGTAGTAGTAATGTAGTTTTGATTACATAATGGTCTAGAATGGGCCTAGAAAATACAGCCTTATTCAAATACCTAAACCATCCAACCAAAAAAGGAAAAGTACGAATGTTCATAAATTTAACACCGTATTATTTGACCAATAGCAGCCGGCATTTAAAAAGGTCACAATATATTTCATAACGAGCCACAAACCCAATTAATTATTCTTCGAGTACCATTTCAGCCCGCATTAATCAGCAAGGGTTAATTGAATCACACAATTTATGGTTAATGTGTGATAAATCCGAATGGAATCGTAAACTTCACATGCATCGGCAGCAGTGTCGTTTCATCTGGAGAAGATTTGGGTCACTTGCAGCGCTTTCCTCGCTCTTTTATGTATGTATTAGTTCAGGGTAAGGGCAGCTCCCGCCATTACGTGTACGTAAATTTCACAAGGGAAATTAATTTCAAAGTGGTTGCGACCCCACAAGCACACACATTTAACTTGTTTTTGTGTGTGGCGCTGGGCAGAAGGAGTGAGCTAATGGGCCGACAAGCTGTGGCCAACGCCTTCGTTTCACTCAAAGTGACAGGAGATGACCAGGAGCAGGAAGAGCAGAAAGAGCAGGAGGAGCAGGAGGAGAAGGAGGAGCAGGAGGAGCATTGGGGGCGGCCTAACCAAAATGCATATTCGTCATCTTGGCCTACATTTATCTTGGCGAACGAGCCCCCTCACCGCTGTTACCGTGGAATAAACTCTGGGGATGTCTATAAATACAATTGAATTACATTTTCAGTCACATCTATTTCTATTTTAATAAAGTAGTATTCAGTATAACACATCTAGAAAGTTTGTTGAATGAACTTGGGTTCATCTACTTTTGCCACTCAACGGGTTTATTACTTAAATAATTACCATGCAGCTGTGTTCGAAAGTAATGTACAAGTTCAACATAAATTTAGTAGTTAATAGGTAGGGTAACCAGCGAAATGCCAGTGGAATCATACATCTGGCCCACGGTAAACTGCACCAGCTGTGCACAAGAGCATCGACTACAAAGTGGCAGGGGCAAGTGGGCGTTGCGGCCTGTGGATTCTCTCTATAGTGTGCAAATATCATAAAATGTGCAGCGCGCCTCTCTGTTTGACCTGTCAGAGCATATTACACATCCGCCATGTGTGCCGTGTGTCTAAAGCGGGACAGGGAGCAAAACGGCGTAGATCCTGCCTTGTTGTCCATTAACAAACAATTTGGCTGATGCATTCGGGCAAAGGAACAGGAGCAGCTAGTTTCGCTTCCCCTTTTTTATGGTTTACTTCACATGGACTTTTTATGTCTTTGCCCTTTTTAATCTATTTGAAAGGCCAAAGCCCGCTGAGCACGTACATGTGTGCAATTGCTCCGCCCGGAAAATTGTCGCGTCCCGCTAACGTGGCATTAATGGTGACAAATGTAGCGAAATGTTAATGGACTGGATATCCTCTCCACTTTTCATTTCATTTTTGGACGTTTTATGACAGTGAGTTTTGCTAGTTTCGTTGCCATTTGACCCCTGCTTCAAATATAAACAGGAGGATTCCAAGTGCTAAATGCCATGCTTCCCTCATTCATCATCATACATCAACGAAATAGTTGGTGCGACCCTCGCTCCATTCCCCAATCCCTCAGAGAAGACACGCAACAGTTTTTCCAGACACATTTCTTTTGCAAATTGGGAAAATTGGGAGCGGGAGGGAGTGCGGGCTAGGATGTCAAATGAGTGTCGTCCTGGCAGGCGGTCCCTAGGATTACGACCTGACATTAACATGCTACCAAATAGTTGGCTCAGCTCGACCCGAGGGATACAGTTGAGTCAACAGGTTTTGGCCCTGAAACGGAGCGCATTTCATTTAAACGAAGGTGGGGCTTGTCAAAGGACGTACAAAGTTATCTAACAACTCGATTAAAAAGTTGTATCTTAGCCAAAGTGTATTTAAGGTCATGGGTTAGTTGAAAGCTTAGATGGAAATAATATTATTTAGCTCGTGAGCTATCAATACCGAAACATACTTTGTGATAGTTATCATGAAACTTTGTTTCTTAACTATTTAAATATCTTGCTTACACGATAGCAAGATGCCGTAGAAGCAGACAAATATTCTTTGTAAATAAATAAATTCCCGGCTGTCAGTGAAGCATGGCCACAAGCATTCACGCGCATCATTGCACACTTGGTAAAGGGGAATTCAAGATCGAAAACTAAGACAACAATTTGTAGGGAACCATAATTGAGAAGAAAACTCAATGAAAATTCTAAACCCAGACTCAGTTGGTTTCTCACGGCCTTCAGAACAGTGCGAAAAATCGGAAACAAAAACATTCACGCATGAGAAGTCAACCATCTAGGATTATCTACATACACGTATACTCGATATATCAAGAACTATTTGAATGAATACTATGTCTGAATAAATATGTTATAAAATACAAACTTATATTTATTTTATTTTCTGATTGCTGGGTGCGGACCCGCAATGCCACGATAAGCATAGATGTATATTATTTCCGATAGAAACTGACTGCGATAAAACTAAAATTTAATTAAGGCATTTAGAAGCGGTGACAGCTTAGCTAATGTGGAAATGAAGGAAATTCTCACATGAAATGTAGAATATGCTGTTGGTATGCGTTAAAAAGCGCTAAAATAAAGCAACATCTAGAAACGAGTTCTATGGGCGAGAACCCGGCAGATGACTAAATTTCAAACCAGACTCTCAGGCAGAATGAGACCTTTGTTTTATTGTATCTAGATACTGTCTTATATATAAGTTCTGTTTGGGGTTAAATACATATATACATATTCCGTGTGCGATGACGCAACAACGCATAAAATGTTAAGGAATTCGTTTTCTTTATTTTAGTTTTCTTGCTCGCCTCTGGCGGCAGCATTTTGTTGAAGTATTTCGGTTCAAAAAAGGCCACAGCAAGGCAAAGGCCAAGAGCAGGTAGGAAAATGCAGAGGAAACCATAACAGCTGCTGCCCTTCGCCTCCTTAAAATGCATCCTCTTTACCTGCAGGTGTTCTGGCCAGAAAACCGGAAGGGTGGGAAAGCCATTGGGAATAAGACAGCAAATAGGACAGGTCATGTCTTTGGTGTGGTTTACAAAAACACAACTATTTGTTTTACACTGAAATGGCCAAATATTAGGCTAGTTCAATAACCAAATCCTAATTTTAAAGGGGCAAACAGTGGTCAAACGATTCCAGCTTTCTAATTTAAAAAATTATTTGTTTTCGAACACAACTTGTTTAAGTTCTTGTATGTATATTTTCCTACATTTTTAAGTGGATTTTTCGCTCAAAAAGGTTATATGCTAAAATCGAACCAATCTGTTGAAGGCGGGAAACGGTGCGTATGAAATAAAGGGTTCCAGCGAACACAAAAGAAAAATCTCAGTGGCATCGTTGAGAGACGAACAAAACAAGCGGAAAAATAAGTGCAGCTGTTGCAGTTTTATAAATGTGGTTCCCCAAAAACGTACTCCCTCAACTCATCCTCTTCCATCCAAAAGGGCTACCTATCCAATCTGCACACATATAGTATAGATATATCATATAGTATATGGCATATAGCTGGGGTTAGATGTGAACGGTCTGTTGTCGCTCGGTTGGTTGGTTCTCCACAATAAAAGTGACATTTTTTCGTGCCAAATTCTGTTGACGGTGGGTGGGTGCTCTGTGGTAACGACTTTTAGCCACTGACACTGAAACATTTTGTGGAGAACTTTCCGAGGTTGCAAGGGCAACATGAACTAATTGGAACAACATTTCCGTCCGTCTTACAACGAAGAAGTAATCAAAAAAACTACTTTGATAAATGAAATGAGAACTAATGATGGAGATTTTCTAGCCCTTTTTGGCAATTAATCAATGTTGCTCCTGGCTTGCTCACTGCATTGCAGTTGAATGACTTGATTTGTGTACATCTCAGAGTTTTTATCTCTAAGATATTCGCCAAGCATTTTTCGGAAACCAACTCAAATGCGAATAGCCGCAAATCAAAGCAAAATATTCTTTAAAGATCTATACAAACTTTTTTTTCACTAAACAGACCCAAAGAACAAACGCTGCAATCAAAGTGGAAAACCATTGATTGATATGGTCAGAAATCAAATATATACAGGCAATTATGACAAGGAAACAGTTGAATACATATGTAATGTTTAAAAATATTCATGAACTCATCAGTAGCATCTGGAATTAGTGTTTTATTGAGAAAACAAAACCCAAATACATTCAGATTCCCAAGCCGTGATAATGCCACAGGTCTAGACTGGCGATAGTCGTGGGTCCCACCGAATGAAATGCGTCATTTATTGATTGCAAATAAATATCTGGGAACGCAACAAGCGACACCGAAGCCAAGACCAAATCGGATGCAATGCCTCATTTGAAAATGAGTCAACACGAAATATTTACAATTATTACAATGCCCTGCGGCTTGCATTTGTCAAATACAAATGAGTTTCAGAAAGATAAAAATAATATTACAAACAAAAGTAAACCATTTGCAGCCCAAACTTGCATTAAACCTGAATTCAATTGTTTGTTGTTGACGGTTATTTTAACCGCAGTCATGTGCTACAGACATAAAATTGAAGTGTGTAAATAATAAACAAACACCTTGATTTACATTGCACCAAACAACAAACAGCAGTGCCATGTGCTCAAGACCCAAAACTGATAACGCTTCAGCCCTCTTTTTAAACCATATGCAAGAAGGCCACTACTAGAAACAAGAATCATTAAATATTACAAAAAATAATTCTTTTTCCAAAACTACTCTAATTATAATACACATTTGTTGATCCCAAGAAGAATATGCAATAGGAATTATGCTGCGTTTATCAAAGGGGCATCCGGTCGGTTTCTCCCCACCACATACAAAATTTCAAACTTCTGTTCAGTACATATGTACATACATATTTTTGTGCTAGTACGGACAAGAACAACTGCAAGCTCATTATGATTATCTCTCGCTTTTTAAGCGTTCATCCATGACCATGACTAATCTGACTGTAAAGCTGAGGGTCAACTTCCAGTGGCGTTATCGCTGGAAATGAAAGGAAAAGCTACTTAAAGTAGAGGGGTTACCTGCCGAAACGCTTATCGCGGCAAAGAAATGTAAACAAATGAAAGTTATTTGCGTTGATTTGACGCCTTTTCATGGCTGCGCTAATTCCTCAAACCAATTGACACAGAAACGGATTTAAAAACTTGCAGTGCACGTTAATGAAATTAAAAATAGATCAACAGCTGAAAATACACGGTGTGCGAGGGAGATGGCGAGATCAAGAGTGGCCAGGAAAGTCAAACAAAGCGAGCGGGACAGAAGGAGATGGAGAGGGAAAAGTGAGAAAAACACAAAGAACTAGAACACGGGAAATCAGAATGGGAAATCAAATGCGTTTCGTTTTCTTGTTTGCCTGCTCTTCACACTTGTTATTTGTGATTCTCGAATTTGTTAAGCGAGGCGAAACCTTCACGTTTTTAGCGCCCTTTTTATCGAGTTGCTAGGCATTTGGAGTTGAGCAAAACAGAGAAAATATGCCCAAGTTCTACGGTGTCTTACCACATTTGCATAAGCTCTGCGAACGGCGACCACAACAAAAACGAAAGCGAACGATTTTTACCGATTTATCACCAAAAACTCACACTGAACCATCCACTTTCTTTATTTTAAGAAACTTTCCAGATCTTTTCGATCACTTTTGCTCACTTTTCACCACTCTTTTTCTGTTGGTGCAGATTATTTGGTAAGCACTTTAGCGCATTTGTTATTGTTTCGTTTCGGCTTCGATTTTTACAGGCGTTTCGTTGTGTTTGCGCTAATTTGTGTATTGCACAGATTTTGGTTGTGAACTGCGTATATAGCGTGGTATCCGTATCCGTGTACTCAGTAGAAACCGAAAATATCGTTAATGTAACATTTTCTCCCGGCAACTTATGCACTTTTTGTTACTTTTAGCGGAGCACCGAACGCGAGTACACCGCAGATGAAAACATTTCGAACTGAATGGTGTTTAGCGCTTCCTTCTCCTTAAATACAAAATGCAAAACGAAAGAGCCATCGAACTCGCTCTCACGCTCTCTCGCGTCGGTTATGCGAGGGTAGTAACATGAAAAAAGTTAAGTTCATGTATTTACGACTTCGAGCTATGTGTTGGGTTTCATTTAATTTATAGATTTAATTTATAGACATTATATACAAGTTTGATGCTGGGATATATAAATTGTTAAGTACAATATGTTCATAACGTTGCCTTGCCGAACATCATCACTTCGTATGTTACTTAATAAACCATGTTTCCTATGCCATAAACCTCTCATTTTCGTTGTCACATTTCGAGAGTGCAGGACAGTGGGCTAAAAGATATTCAATTGAGGAAATTCAAACATAAATGTACTTGCTTTATTTCAAATATCTATCAATATCTTAAAAATGTTCAGGACACATTGCTAAGACGGATATTGCGTTATTAATCCATAAGTTTGATCCTTACACATTTGTTTTGTGCAGAAAACTATTAACCAATTATAACATATGTTCCAAACTGCTGCCTCGATTATGAATTTAAGTTCGCCATATAAACATAAACTTGGAAATATGTATGATATTTACGTTTAATTCGAGGATAGGCTGCCAGACCCGCAACATAAAACGCAACAGTTTGTCGTTTTTAAACTGCAAAACTGTTGGTCACACAAAAATATAGACCATATATCGATAGGCGCCGATAGATTCGGTCAAATAAAATCGTGCAATTTTTTCCAATACTTCCGCTAGATAGAAATAGTACCAAAAATGTCCGAATTGCAGGTGAACTAGGCAATCTACATAAAATTCGTAATCGAATCCTTAAGTCTGAACCTACCTAAACCTAACCTACACAGGAATTCAACCAGGCGGCCGAAGATGTGAAGAACCTGAACACCACGCCCGGGGACAACGACCTTTTGGAGCTCTACAGCTTGTACAAACAGGCTACAGTGGGCGATTGCAATACAGGTGGGTCTCGGGCATAGTTCCCACTTCGTTGCACCATCGGTAATTCAGATCCAATGCAGATAAACCCGGCTTCCTGGACTTCAAGGGCAAGGCCAAGTGGGAGGCGTGGAACAACCGCAAGGGAATGAGCAATGCCGACGCCCAGGGCGCCTACATCACCAAGGTAAAGGCACTGATCGCCGCCGTTGGTCTGAAGTCCTAGACTTAATCAAGAAAGAATATTGCATTTTATAGTCTCAGTTGTCGTCAAACGCACAATCTGTGACTTACAGAAACTTCGCACAAACTTCGATTTTTCGCACAATATACACCACAAATTCGTAACGTAAGCCATGTAATTTGTCATAGAGGGAATGGATATACATTAAACTATATAGGATACTGCTTAGGCCTCTGTGGGTGAGGCGGCGGTGCTGCCTTGGGACTGGCGTTGTCGCTCGTACACCTCTCGCTGTAGCTCGCGAAGATTTAGCTCCAGCGTTTCCACCACCTCAAAATTCATGTCCTGACGAGCCTGTTTGATGTAGCCCTTGATGATGTTTATTTGCTCAATCAGCGGATCGTCTAGGCTGGACTTGCTAGCCGCCTGCGGTGCCGACCAGTTGGTCAGGGATTGCAGATCAGACTGTGGAGCAAATTGAAAAGAGGTTAGAGATAGAGACTTGCTGAGAATCATCATTTACATACTCCTTGGGCAAAGGATCCGCTTTCCGGACCCGGAACACCAACGCCTGATTGGTTAGCTGCCATGTTATTCCGCTCGTAGGCTTCCATGGCCATGCGCTGCTCGGTAAGGATACGCTGCTCCGTTTCCATGCGTCTACGCTCCTGCATCTGGCGTATGTGCGACTCCTCTGGCAGTGGTGGCAGCGATAGCATGCGCTCCTTAATAGCTTGGATGCAGCCCAACCGAATAGCCTTCTTCAATGCCTCCTCCCGGCTACCAGGTTCACAAAATATGGCTAGAATGCGCTTGCTCCTCATGTCCATGGCCTCTGCCACTTGTCCAATCTTGCCACGCAGAGCTCCAGCATCCGCCAACGTGAATATGGTGTCCCCTTCGTTCAGGCTATTAATGATCTTTAGATACATGTCCAGATCCGGGGTAACTTCTTTTTGTAGCTGACGAATTTGTTCATAGACCTGAACAAGGAGAGGGCGACAAGTGCGACTTTCGTGCATATCCCTTCGCGTGTCCAGCAGCCAAAGGCAGTGCTCGCACAGCCGAATGGCGTTCTCGTGTTGATGCAGCTGCTGGAGTGGCTCGCTTCTTGTGGTGGAAAGACTGGCCAGCTGCACTGCGGGATTAAAATAAAATTAGTTAAACTTTTTCATCAATTATCCGGTATACTAACTAGCATCTTCCAGGGGTAGGAACTTAGAGCAATCATTGCACATTATGCCTCCACACAAACGGCAGTGGTGCTGTCTTCGGGCGATGTGGAAACTTTTGGCACAACTGGGGCACAACTTGACGGAACTACCATCCAGCCAGGCAACCGTTTGCTGTTCGTGCTGACGCCGCTGCACTGAATCCGCGGGCAGATCCTTAAGCAGGCGGTGCAAACGAATGATTAACTTGTTCGTTTCGCTAGCATATCGCTCCAGGCGAGGATTGCGAATGGACTGAAAGTAATCGAAATGGGAGCACTCAGCACCTGCCTGCTGCCTGGACATGTGGTTAAAAACATTAAGACGGGAGCGTGCATTACTGGGTCCATTGCGATCTCCGTTGCCACTGGGATTCTTGGCAGCCACTGAAGAGGAGGAGCCTGCGGGCGAGGATGCAGATGTTCCTTTTTCATCCTCAAAAGGGTTTAGGATTTTCTTTTTCGCCTTGGTAAAAATATCTTTGAAGGATTTTAGGGCCGCCTCCTCTTCGGCGTGCTGGCGAGCAAAATGATCCGTGAGCACATCGATGGACTTGAGATCCGCCCTGCAAATAGGACATAGAAAGCCCTCTAGAATCTCTCCACTGGTCGAGCTTTGATCTTCGTCGCTGTCGAAAGGATTTCCAGACATTCCGGCGATGAGTAATAATGGTACTTCGGTGGGTGTGTTTTGTTGTAGTCTCCTCCCCAAAAAATATTGTTCTAAAGGTTTTCCACCTGTACTAAAGCAGTGGCATGACGCGACTCACGCCACTTGTAGTCCTAAAATCGATTAAGACGGTCAGAATTTCTACAAATCCATTAATTTTATTTAAAAATTCATATTTCCACAAATTACCAAGATTTGCCTGCCTCACTCTTGTTCTTGCCCAATTGCCATTCACAGGAATATGCAAAATTTAGGGCTGTAGCAGGTAAAATTTGTTGATTTTTTTTCAGTTTATTTTGGTATTAAAAAAGTTCTAAATATTGTCATAAAGAGTTATTTTACATTATTTCAATGGCTCTTTTCTTTGGCACCAGTTCAAAATAGTTAGGTGTAGAATTCTAAAATATTTTATTTGCTGATTTTGATTATCAGTTTTTGCCTGCTCAATTTTACATCCGTTGCAGCCCTGGTCGAAAGCTTTCAATTGTGAATGCCAAGTGCGGAAAGAAGCAGAAAGTTGCCTGCCTGGAAGTTTTCTTAGGTTTAACGCTATAAATCCGCCGTGGGTGTCAATATCCTGTGAATAAAAAATATCCCTACGACAGCTGTGCACTTGGCACACATCTAAATATCGAATTAACCCAATTTAAAGCACCAGATCGGCGGCTAGCATGTCGGAAAGATCGAAAGGTGACGTGTCCGCTCGCGTAAACAACAACGCGAACGCGACGCGTGTCGTTAAAAATCCACTTCTGAGCGCCTCCGTGACCGGCCTGAGTTTTGACGACTTCCCCAACAAGCCGCAGCTTCTGCCTGCCGCCCCGCCCGTGGTCCATGCCACGCCTCCAGCGGCACCCGTCCTCATCGCTGGCATCTTGAACCGTGGTAAGTGGGTCACCGTACGATGGGGAATCTAGCGCGGAGTGGGGGTCACCTGTTGCTGGTTGTTTCAATAATGATAAGCTGATAAGCCAAGAACTTGACCTTCTAACCCTCTTCCCAAACTGTGAATTACATTATCAGAGATCAACCACTTTCAGTGCATAGAGAAATGGGTCAAGTCAGCACCGGTTCATTCTTAAACAAGTTGATGTATGTACATATAACCAAAGGAATGTCTTACTTGTTAAACAAATGTAATGATATGATATAATAGTTTTCTTTAATTAGAAGTGAATACTTGACTCAATGTGGTAACAAGTTGGGATAGTTATTGTGAAGCACCCAAATCATAAGAAGTGAAATCTAAATGTGAATGTTTTTTGATAATGTTTTTCCTGATAAGCTGTAGATTAGGATCTATTTTGCAAGTTTAGTCATCGGTGATTTCCGAAATTACTTGGCAGTTCTTTTCAGTACTTTATGAGGGACAACCACTTAAGTATGTGCGTAAATTTAGTAAAACTGTGGCTTCTTTATATAGTATACTTCCATGGCATTTTTATTAGACTCCTCCGAGTCCCTCTGGATTCTAACTTGGCACAATAGCATAACAACAATCTACTCCATGCTCCTAGTGGAGTGGGATCTATATGTAGGCAGCTCCAGCGTCGTCTTCCTCCGCCTGCAGCACCACACAATGCTCCATATGAGGGCTGCAATAAGCAGGAGCAGCAGAATGACTCCAAGACAAATGGCTACAATGGCGGCCTCGTTCAAATATACATCTCTGACATCGATGGTAAGGCTCCTCTGATTCCCGGCCGCATCAAAAGCGACAAGGGATACCTTTGGGTCGCAACAAGAGGCCATGTAGGTTGCCTTCAGGGGCTCTGTGCTACCAGCAGTGTAATAGTTCCTGTAGAAAAGACCCTCTGGTGGCGTGGCCTGCAATCGCATCATTCCCGACTGCCAATCCTGAGCGGTTACATCGACAGTCCAAAAACGCTCGCCACAATTCAGGGATTCGGACGTCAGGTAATCACAGCGGCTGCCAAACTCCCAGGACAGCGTAGGTCCAGTTGAGTCCTGAAAATTACATTTAAAAATTTCAATTATGCTTTCATAATCAGCTGTTCGGCACTTCATATACCTGAGCATCTATGCTGGTAACCACTTTGAGATTTACCGCCAGAGTAGTTGTTTCGCGGCCATAATTGGTGAACGTAATCCGGTCTGTGGTTCCCTGAGTAGTGCCAGTGGGCACCAGAACAGTCAGACGCACTGTGGCCGTCTCCAGGGCGCGCAGGCTTAATCTACAAAGGCAAAAGTACGCGATATAATATATATAATGTATAAAGTAAAGACATCGCTCTTAAGCGCTCTAACCTGGTAGGAGTCAGTTGAACCAGGAAGCGCCGCTCGTCGGTGACCTGAATGGTTGAGTAAACCGTTTCCGTTTTCATGTTAGTGACCTCAAAGAGCAGCGTAGCTGTCTGACCAGCCATCACCAGCAGCTTCGATTCTGTGCCCAACTCAATTTTTGTGCCACATCGCTGGAGGAGCATGGCATTTAGGGTGCTCCTCGGTTGTCCTGTACTGAGAGCATATTGAGTTTGGTTCAGATTCGGAGAACTCTGGATTTCCTTATCCGAAAAGGTTTCGATTTCGCTCTTCGGTGAGTCCACATCTTCCTCTAGCTTTTCAGTATCCTTTTCCTTGTCGGGAAACTGAATTTTGGCCGACTTGGCCTTGGTTTGCCCGGTTTTGTAGTAGCTGTCGATGCGTTTGATGATGTCGCCTTTGGGAAAAATAGAAAACAATTAGTAAATTAGCTCCGCACACGTGTTTTTTTAGATCGATGATGGCGTCAACGCTGACGATTCCATCCAAGGTTGAAGTGCGGTTATCAGTCGAGATTCGTATTCATTGGGGCAAACAAAGCAGATCCCGGGCCTTATCAGTCGAAACGCAGACTCACAGCATTTATTTAGCTAACGGGGGCTCAGTTCTGTGTGGCAATCAATACCGCCAGGTTGTTTGTTATTTTGTCACTTTAACTCACCCAGGAACACATCCGCTTTTCTTTCGGCGCGCACAAACACATTGTATTTCTCATGCAGCTCGGACTGCAACTTTAGTTTGAAAATCGTCGCGCGTCGTAGTTTGTTAAGCGGTACGTAGGCGTCTAGTTCTTGTGTATTTGACGTTTCGGTGACATTAACTCCGCCGAATTTCGTAAGTTTCTTCAAATTTATCTCTAAAAAGTAAAAAAACACAAAAATAAACAAAAGTCTAACAGCTGTTTGCCATTCACAACGCAACGCAAACAGCTGTTACAGGTATTTGCGCGGCGTTGCCAGACCATAGCATTGCGTACCACTTTTAATTAAAACATCAAAATTGTGCAATAAACATTCAATCCGTAAGCTATCAAACGTGTTTTTTTATAGCCACAATAATTATAATTAGTGGAACATTAAATAAACACATTTCGCCGTAATCTGTCGCCAACTGCGAGACCTTGGCAACCCTGCCCTGGCAGCTGCGCCGTAGTTGTTGTGAAAGAAAAACACGTCTACAAAAATCCGCGACAAAAACAATGGTTTTTTCTTGTAAAATTAGCAAATAACGTACGATTGTAGGCCGCTAAGTGTTGTCAAAAAGGCATATTAATTACCAGTCTAGATCACTGCTGACGACATACCAGCCCAGTGCAATAAATCACCAAAAACTGGTCAGTTTCTAAATTTGCCCTTGATAGTGATGTGATTTGCCTAATTTTGTTATTAAAAAACGTATGTATGTTTGTTATTTTAAGAAAAACCGACTTCACAAAAAAAGTGAAAATATCTAACCATAAAGGGAAAAAGCGTCGCCTCAAACATTCAAAATATTGAAATTGGTTCGCATATACCTCAAAGGATGTTAATATTTATAAATTTATGGTTAAATACTACGCTTAAATGAAATTTTTGTTCGAGTTTTAAAATACTTTTATGAAAGGTCACAATTTGTTGAGAGTTGAGGCAGGCAGTGGAAAAAAACCTCCCCAAAAATTGATTTTTTTCAGTCTGTACATGTGCAGTGCGTTTGTGTTGGTAACTTCCGGGAGATAACTTTGTTTATAATCGGCCATAAGTTCCATAAGTTATAAAAAGATTGCAATACTTTCACTGGGCATTTTCTGTTTTGTGCGATAAGTCGCTGTTTTGACTACAAATGTTTTGTGCCGTAATTTTTGAGTCATAATTATTTTCTGTCTGACCCCGTGCAATCATCATTTTATTAGCTATACAATACAAAATTGGACTTTGTCCACTCGTTCGACGTGGCTATGATTAATCTGAGGGAACGCTCGTTCTTTTTGATCCATTCTTTCAACCATTCAACATTTTAAGTTAGTCAATAATAACATTTTGTGCCGGACAGTTGCAAGTGCTCCATGATTAAATCGGATTAGAAATATATTAAACATACTCACCTCACAGGACAAAACACAGAAGGGACTAGATCACAAAGTGCTGATATAAAGTTAAGGTGAAGTTCGAAAAAACATAATTTAGATGCACACGGAAAATATTCGATTTTAAATTGCTAAGTTGTATTGCATTTTTGTAATACAGCTTTTTTTGACCACTAACAGTCTGCATTTAAAATCGTTATTATTTGTGTGGTTTTGTGTCAAATAGCTTTGATTTTCATCGATTCGTTTTATTTGTGGACCCTTAAAAAGCTAAAACATTTATTACTTTATAACTGTAAAACAGTAAACATATATATTGAAATTTCTTTTGTACTACAGTTTAGTGTCAAGTGTGGTTTCGTTGAGCATTATTATTATACTAGCGTTTTGGTTAAGGAAAGCGTTGGGACATCGGCTATATACAAGGATCAGCATAGCTGACTTGGGATTAGAGAGCAGCGATTGGTCGGGGGTTAGTCAATGATCTTACGGGCTAAGGACATAAATTACACAGTAGTACAGTTGTCAATACATCTGGGAAGTTATTCGAAGCTTGTGCCATTATCAAGAGGATTAGACTTAGGATCTACGTAGGTTTGGCACACAGACTCCTACACATTTAAGTCGCTAAACACTAAAATACAACCCTGCGTTAGTAAGTGCGATAGAGCAAACGAAGTCGGTGCTTGGTAACTCGCTTTTCGAGGATCACTAACCACCATTCGGCGTCTCCAGCGTGGCCCGTCTCATATTCGCATCGATTCGCACATGGAGACTGGACAGCGTCGTGTCTACCGGCAGATCTAGCTCTTGACTGCCTTGATACGCGTCCGCTACTAGGGTGAGCTGAAAAAACAATAAATGCCAAATGTGTTAACAATATTTATCCAACTCGAAGGATAAGTAGTAGGTAGTCTAAATAAATATCAGGCTTGAAGGTCCATTCTCAGTAGGAACACATAAGTTGAACTTATTATAAAGCTGTTCAGTTAATAAGCCCTAGACAGAATGGACACATTAAGACCAACAACAAAAGTACCCTTGCTTTTGGGTTTCCCAAACCCAGCACAGGAAATTGAAATTATGCAAATTTATTATTCCGCATTCCGCAGAATTTGAGTACAAAATACTCAATTTGCCATTTTAGCTGTGTGGGTTAATTTCGGCATTTTTGTCTAGGCTTCCTTTCTACCAACAGATTTGCCCTTCACTTTTCTTTCCATAACCTAGTTTTGCAGTGGCCGCACAGCCACAAAAGATGCACCATCATCGACAACAAGTCGCGGGGTCTTGAGCACCACCTGTCGGTGCTGCCGCTGTCGTTGCCGCCTGGCCACTGGAGAGGTAATCCAAGTGGCTCCGTCTCAGCTGGCTGCTTGGGCAACAGTCGGCTGGATCTGGTTGCCACTTTCAGTTTCTCAACACTTAGGCCTTCCCCGCCGAATCTGGCTCTGGCCCGCACACTTTAATTACCCCAATTGCGGGTCGGGTTTGCTCGTTGCTATCATCGCGTTTATATCTCACCGTATTGCCAGCTATA